ATGCATAGAATTTGCAGCACATTATGTGCGCAATTATCCATGACTGGGTAAGGTGGCCAGATGGCAACTCAAAAGACTCCACTGGTTCCTTTCAATTCCCTGCTGACTCAGGAGTTGCAGCTGTGGTAACTGCTCCTTCCACCTCTTTTTTTCTCCAGGTCATTTCATCTGCCACCGTTCCCCGCCTGCTGTTCAACCTACCTTCTGCAACAGGAGGGAGAGGGACAGAAGGAGGAGGGGAGGAATGAGAGGGAGAAGCCACTGATTCCTTGTTTATCTATTCAAGTGGGCATTTAAAAGTACACTGAGTGTGTGTGTGTGTGTCTGTGTGTCTGTGTGTCTGTGTGTCTGTGTACGTTGTGCCAAGAGAGAAATTTTGAGTCTGCAATCTGCCAGCCCTGACCTTGTTTTCTGTATGGGAATTTTGTCACACATGAAACAGCCCATTTTCTTTTGGATTGGATGCCATCTGCGATTTTATAGCAGTAAGATGGGATTCTGTAGTAGAAGGAACTGCTGAGGCGATCAAACCAGTCTCATTGTTAAGCTAACGGGCCTAGCAAGCCTCCTAAGCACCCTTTTCATATGACTAAGGAGTTGGCTGCGTTGTCATAGAAACAACTAACCGGTGCTGCTGCTAGATGGACAGGGCAGGCCTTCACCCCTCACCTGGCTGGGCCCCACACCTGAACAACCCTTTACAAAATTAAGTCTCCGTCTGGAAGCACTCGTAGTGGGAGCACTCGAAGTACTGTCTCAGGTGCTCAGGCTGACAGGCTTTCCAACAAGTACCCCTGCCTTGCTGTCTATAAGGCTGCCAGGCAATGCACAATTAATTACCTGGGAGCAAGCCCAGGTAATTGAGAGACAGGTCTGAGGAAACATGCATGGGATTTTAGCCCACAGGCTAGTGCCACATGTGAATCCATGGCTTCACAGTCATGTGGTGTGTGTCAGCTCGAGTGAGGGGTTACTTAAAATCCTGATGTGCACACTCACTTACTCACTTACACATGCATGTGGAAGGCAAACAAGCCGTGGAGATGCATTGGAACGCTTTATTTAAACAGATCCCAATATAGATCTGCGGCTTATGCCAGCGCACAGGACGTTCTCTTAAAATACACATTGATTTTTAGATGTAGCTTTTGATAGCAATGAAGTTCAGAATGATTACTAGTAAAGCTTCCGTTTATCATACCCGGTGCAGCGTGGCTTCATAGTTACGCCGAGTCTTGTCAGCATTGCGTACTGTTCTATACGAAGCTTAAATCTGGTCGCAAAGAGTCGAGGGAGAAAGAGCCCCCTTATATTTTGTGATTAGAAAGGTCTGGAGTGGGGCGGCAGCATGGTTTGGTGGGAGTCAGGGGTTGGAGCTTGTGGATTTCCAAAATTTGACTGCATAATCGGAGGTGTCACCCATACATCTGATGGAATGGTGATGAAAGTTCAGGAGCAGACTTAAAGGCTGCTGTCTCTTTGTGACGGGCCATTTCAGGTTGCAGAAGAGAAAGCGGCATTGTCCTCCCTGCTTAGGAAGCATGTTGGTTCCTACTGACCTAGAATGTCTTCAAATGCTTCCGGGTGCAACTAGATATTTGTGTGGGCGTGAGCCAGACTCTAGTCTCCTTGGTCTTGCTCTGGGTGGCTGCCTGTCAACTTGCTTGTTCCTGTTCTCTCCCTCCCTTTCTTTCTGTCAGTCTGCCAGCTTCCCTAACCATTCCTTGTTCCATCCTTGCTCCATCCTACTTTGGGTGGACTTCTTGGCTTGGAAGCAGTAGACTTTGCCTTCTGATTGACCCTCCTATAGATCTGCCCCAAGAAACCCATCCATTGCTGGTCCCGATCCTGCTGGGATTCATTCTTTCAGCTCCCTGACACCACCCAGTGCTGACACAGGCAAATTATTTCTTCACAGTTCCTATCTGTTGCAATCACCCGCAGCACCATTTGGACAGAAGGCTCGTCCCGTGTTAAGGAAACAGTCCTATCAATTAAACGATCCTGTTCACTGCACCAAAAACATAAAAGGAAGTACTGTTAAATCCACACTTTGCTTTTTTTATAGGCCATTTTCACATGCATATTAAATAATTTCCCCTTTTTAAATACAGTGATTAAGCATGGCCATGTGATTCTCCGATGAAATAGTGTGGGAATTCAGGAAACACCTGAATTGCACTTTTCTGTGGGGTGTTGACATCTCCCCCACCCGGCTTGGTGGATGACATCCAGCTTTTAGATCACTGGTTGCTTATCTATCCCTGATATGAATGGTTATTGCTAGAACTGCGTCCTGTTTTGAAGGGGTCGTTGTTTGGGAGTGGAAGCTGTTCAGGCAGAAATTCAATTGGTCAAAAATTTTACCCATTATTCCAATTCCATGCTACAAATTCTACCGGAAAAATTTGATTGGTGGCTGGCCAGACAGCCACAGACAGATGGCAATCTGGCTGCTAATTATATACAGTGAGCAAAAATAATAGCAGGTATTCCTCACTAAGGTTTTGTTCCCTACGCAACCTTCCATTAAGCCAAACTTCTCCTGCCTTTTCCTTGTTAGCAGAGATGTCAGAGTCACAAAAAGCTGCTCTGGCAAACCTGTTCTGCAGATGGGAAGTATGAGGTTCTGTCTGATAGGTCATTCAGTGCTAGATAACAATGGTTTACATCCACCCTCAGTTCCGGGACATTTAAAATGTGGGTTGCGCAACATGCTACGTCAGTTGCAATGTTAACTTCCACTGGTTGTTTTCCTGCCTCTCCAGCACCTGTAGCAATAACCCGGAGGTTGTAATTAACTCATCGTAGTGGTACCACTTTTAAGAGGAGAGATGGAGAAATTGAGAGTGCAGAGATTTGCAGGCAACAGGGTTGGCTGTTGATCTTTTAGGGTAGGAATGCCCACTTCTGTGTTTTCATGGGGCTCTTTGTTCTGCAGACAATGAGAATCATAGAATCGGAGAACCATAGAATTGTAGACTTGGAATATGCAGGAATATGCAGTTATCCCATATGGGATCGAACCTGCAACCTTAGTGTTATCAGCACCATGCTGTAACCACCATGCTCTAACCAACGCCAAGTCTGTGAGCATTGTGTACTGTTTTATTCAAAGCTTAAATCTGGTTGCAAAGAATTGAGGGAGAAAGAGCCCCCTTATATTTTGTGATTAGAAAGGTCGAGTGGGGCGGCAGCATGGTTTGCCTAAAATTTGGTGGGAGTCAGGGGTTGGAGCTTGTTGGTTTCATAAAACCCACTCTTAAATTTGACTCTATAATCAGAGGTGTCACCTATACATGTGATGGAATGATGACGAAAGTTCAGAAGCAGGCTTAAAGGCCACCCTAGGTGCCATAGAACTTAAAATGTATTTTTTTAAATAAAAAAACAAACGTCCATTTTTCATGTTCCTAAATACCTAGGGTTGCCATATCTCCAACAGAGCTCTCATTTATTTTTATTTTTTTTTTAGTAAAAGCTACAAGAATTTTTGAGTTTTGGGGTTTTTTAAGGCATTTTTAGCACAATTTAACTCCCATTGCCAGTTTTCCAGGACGTTTGCCTGTATTTCCGAAAATAATCCAGGATGCCGTTTTCGGAGGCAAATTCCAGGACATGGCCTGGAAAATCAGGATGCATGGCCAGCCCTATATAATCAGAGATCAATAAGACTTACCTGGGGGGGGGGGCGAGAATCAGAATTGCAGCAGCAATTTTAGAAGCTATGCATAGAAGAACAGAAGTGTAAATTGACAGGTCTCAAGCAACAGGGACTACCACTGAAATGTGGCGTTCTAATAGAGCTCTGAAATCTCACGAGGTTTCCTTAGCATGGAAAAGCCTTGCTGGTCATACTACAGGCAATGGCTTGGACCCCAAGATGCCGTCAATTAGTGAAAAGGTACTTCTGCTCAATTCCTCCTTCCTGCTGTGGGACATTTGCTGTACCAGGTAATGTCTGGAGCCTGACAGCTGCTGTGTTGTATGGCAACAGGGTTCATTGGCATCCATTTGTCTTGGGAGAAAATGAAAGAGTGGGAGGTTGCAGCGTTTGCTGTGGCTGTAGAGACCGATATGGAAGAGACATGTTTTGTTGCAGCCGAGGCACATGAAGGTCTCCAGTTGTTCTGATGCACCATGGCGTTTCTTTTCTCTGCGCTTCTCCCAGCAGTCCTTCCTCCTCTGGCCACTGCTATGGATGCACAACCTTTCTGTCTCCAGGCACTGCAGTCGCCTGCAAGGAATTCCCACATGGCGGCGTTGATGCTGCCAGCCTTCATGTGACACTTGCAGACAACTTTGTAATGCAGAGTTGGTCTGCCAACGGGCTTGGTGCCTGAAGCCAGCTCTCTGTCAAGCATGTCCTTGGGAGATCCTGCCAATATGCCTTATGGTAGAACCTCACAATGGGCAAAAGCTTAGGGCTAAAAAGACAGCAGAGACCCGAGTTGTAGGCTTACTGGAGGGGTTGCCATCCTGGCGCCTGTTGGTGCCTGCAGAGGTCTTCCCTGGCACCCTCTGGGTCCCTTCCGCCTGCTGAAATAAGGCTTCAAAGCCCATATAATAGGCCATGGGTAGGCAAACTAAGGTCCGGGGGCAGGATCCGGCCCAATCACCTTCTAAAACCGGCCTGCAGACGATCCGGGAATCAGCGTGTTTTTACACGAGTAGAAAGTGTGCTTTTATTTAAAATGCATCTCTGGGTTATTTGTGGGGCATAGGAATTTGTTCAGTTTCCCCCCAAAAAAATATAGTCCGGCCCCGCACAAGTTCTGAGGGACAGTGTACCGGCCCTCTGCTGAAAAAGTTTGCTGACCCCTGTAATAGGCTGTCATCTGTGCTTGGTTGTGGGGTGTGTGTGGTACCCACAACAATTTGCAAATGTGCTCATGGACCCCAGAAGATTGGTGACCCCTGGGCTTAAGGGCCATAGCTTGATGAGAGAGTGTGGGCTATGCTGTTTGCCTATTGGCCTGTGGCTCCTCAGTGAGGCAATATGAGTACCGCTTTTAGCTCATCTGCCACTCCTAGGCAGCTGAGCTTGCTCCTGATCTAACAAGGGGATGTGCAGCCACAAGCCTTCCGAGAGGCGCACCGTACGCCAGCCAACTGGGAAATGTGTCAGGGAGTTTGTTCGGATCCATTTCAGGACATGGTCAGATCACTGAACGTGCATGTGTGGGGGACATGGGAGGTCAGCTCCGAAGAAAATAAGGGACATAGTGAACAGGCAGAAGAGGATAAGTTGCTTGCTAGAAAGGCTTGCTTGCACCACTAGCAGGCATCAAAAAACGAGCCCATCAGCCACACATGTTGGGCCAAGCTAGGAGCTCAGTAAACTTGTCTGGGTTTAGTTGTTTGATTGTTTTCGGAAAGTGAAACGTAGCTCATAAATAACTTAGAACATTTGCCAGAAATCAGGAGATCCCAGAAATCACGCATTCCTAAGTCATACCTAAAATATATTTATAAAGGCTGCATCAGGGCATAATTCCAGTTCTGAGCTGGTGGAGGACAGCGACTAGAGGACTGCTTTGTTTACGTGAGTGATAGAAGGAGATACCATGCTGAAACAAATAAATCTTGCTACCTTAATCAGTAAACCTGCCTGAGGGTGCCAAGTAGGTACCTTAGCAGACGTGGTTAGCAGACTGTGGATCACAGTTGTGACGACAATCTTATCTCTGTTTTCAATGGATTGTATTTTATTTTACAACATCACTGCCCCATGTTCCATACTATATTTTTCTTCTTTCCCCACTTTATTCTATGTCGGTCAGTACAACTCCTCCAAGGTGTAGCTGTTTATTTTCTTACTTCCTTTAGACTTTTGTTGATTTGGGCACCTGAAAATTCTAACTAGGGTTCATATGAAATAAGAAAAAAAGAAGAAGAAATTTTGGGATTCTCACTAGAGCAAAATAATTTTACTGGGTGGGGTGACACGAGCATAGTCCTGTCTGTGTAGGCCAGATGGCAAGAAAGGGAATGTGGTTTGGCTGTGTGCTCGGGGGGGAAAAATATATTTGGGGAAACAGGAGGGGACAGATGGAGTGTTCTTCCAGAAAAACAATCAACACTTTTGATTGCAGCTTCCCTGTGTCTTTTGACAGCTGCACAACAGGAAGAAATGCATGCACTGCAGCTTCTCTGACATTGCAGCATCTGAGTCCTTGAAGAAGCAGCACCAGTTGAATTTCTGCCCTGGCCTGGGTGGGTAGGTAAGTGGGTGACAACACTCCTGTTTGATGACAACCCCACCACTTCACTGATTCTGATATCACCCTGTCATTATTTTAAATGAAAACACCCATGGAAACTCATTTTGCAACTCTCTCGCATCTCCTGGATTTTCTTTGTATTGTCACACCTTAAAATCATCAGCTGCGAAGTAGAATTCAAGAATAAATTGACATTCCCAGTTTGGGGGAGGACAGGATAGAAATAAATATAACAATAATAAGAATTATTATTACTATTACTACTACTACTACTACTACCCACAACTGATATTTATGCTTTGTTCTGTTCTGTAACATTATGACTAGCAGTTTCATTTATATTAAGGGGTTTTGAAACAACATAAGCCTCTTAAGACACTCTATCACTGTTATGTACTGAGTTGAATAGGATCCAAACTGCAGCAGTCTGATTGGTCCTAGAACAATAGGATCCCAAAGGCAGCAGTCTGATTGGTCCTAGAACAATAGGATTCAGAATGCAGCAGTCTGATTGGTCCTAGAACAATGCAGCAGTATGATTGGTTGGCAGGAACCACCCAATCATGCTCCAGATAGAAGTGAATCCACAACCTGATTGGCTTACAGTAGAATTCCGGAATTAGCCAATCATGTGCAGCCCATTGTGTAAAGAATGTATATAAAGCAGATACTTTGAGGGGACTTCCATTCATTCCTCCTCACCACTATGAGCTGAATAAAGAGCATGAAATCACTTTACGACTCTGAGTATATTTCAATCACTTAAAGCAGAATGTAATCAAATCACCACATTTTGTTTGGCAAACACACACACACACACGGACAGAGACAAGGGACATGGACACACCAGGAAAAGGAAAAGGACGCAAAAAGCCCAGATGGTTCAGGTCAAGGCAGAGTGGATTTTCCACATACTAAAATAAAACGCAAAACTGATGCATCAGGGCTTTGATGAGCAGAGGTCCCTGGGCAGGCATCTGCAACAGGAGCTGGAACTGTTATGCCTTCTCCCTGGGACCTTAGAGGCATGGAGTTTATGGTGGGAAGAACAGCTGTGGAAGGAGGGGGGGAGAAGAGACCCCTTCAGGATTTCAGAGAGGGCACGTAGCTCATGTCCCACATGGCGAAGATAAGAAATGTTGGGGGCGGGGCGGAGGGGGTTGTAGGAAATGGCTTAGGAAAACCCAGCAGCACAAGCTAAACTGCAGCTGCAGCAACAGCTCAGGGTGGCGGAGGAAAACTGCACACAGTCAGCAGATTCAGCTCCTCTCCAGTGAGAAAAGCAAAGGGCTGCCAAACAAATTCCTGCCTGGAGGGAGAGGGGGCTCCTTGCAGCTGCTCTCCGAGCTGCCTCCAGCTCTCCAAGAAGTTGGCTCCGTGCGGGAAGGGCAGAGTTAACTCCGCAAGGCCTTACATGTGGTTCATATCAACAGAAGGGAACTTGGCACCAGGAGAACACGGGCTATCAATTTACCCCAGTCTGGATGACGTTTCCTCCTCTCTCTGCTTTTCTGGGTCTTTGCACACTCAACACACAGGAATCAATACATTGGCTGTAGGTGGATTTCTTTTTTCTGGGCAGCAATGTTGTTTAAGGAAGTTTGGAGTGTGTTTTCTAAAGTCACCGTTCCACTTCAAAGTGGACAAGGTGCTATAAATAAGCATGTTATCTGTATTAAAAACACTCAGAGGAGTCAAAAACTGAATATGATGCTTTAAACAGCAGATCAAATGTCAGGGGTCTACTACACCAGGAAAATGCCTTTGGAAAACCCAAATATCCAGCCAGTTGGACATTCCATTGGAAGGATTCCACAATGCAGATGTTGACAGAATCATCATCATCATAATTTTATTTATGCCTCGGCCATCTGGCTGGGTTGCCCCAGCCACTCTGGGTGGCTTCCAACACATATAAAAACATAATAAAATGTCAAACATGAATAATAACAATCTGATCCAATACAAAAAAGTCACAATAACTTTAAAATAAACCACTTATACTGAAACAACAATCCATTATAATGAGAAGGACGTGGTTGGTACTGTGGTCTAAACCACTGAGCCTCTTGGGCTTGCTGATCGGAAGGTCGGTGATTCTTATCCGCACGACAGGGTGAGCTTCCATTGCTCTGTCCCAGCTCCTGCCAACCTAGCAGTTTGAAAGCACACCAGTGCAAGTAGATAAATAGGTACTGCCGAGGCGGGAAGGTAAACAGTGTTTCCGTGCTCTCTAGTTTCTGTTACGGTGTTCCATTACACCAGAAGCGCTTTATTCATGCTGGCCACATAACCCAGAAAGCTGTCTGTGGACAAATGCTGGCTCCCTCGGCCTGAAAGTGAGATGGGTGCTGCACCCCATAGTCGCCTTTGACTGGACTTAACTGTCCAGGGGTCCTTTACCTTTTACCTTTTTTACCATTATAATCTAATGGTAAGCAGTAAAATTAAATATCAGCATATAATAATTAAACCATTTACACTTATAACAATAAACAATTGTTAAACTACAATCAATAAAACTAATGGCAAGTCGCAATGCACAAAATACCACAAACATTACAAGGACATCATCCTGCCAGTGGCCAAACCATTTTTTAGCCAACAGGAACACCCTCACAGGCAGATGTAGTCCTCTTGGCCCTGGTCTCATTCTCTAGTCTGAACGCAAACTATGGTTTGCGGTTCACTTGTCATAATAAACCATAATTTTTGCTGTGGGAAAAATATGAGTTGCTGTGGGGCAGGAGGTACAGGGTGCTTTTCTCATTGCTATCCCTCGAGCTACAATTCCCAGTACGCCCAGCAAACTAAAGTTCCCAGCATTCTTTGGTGTGTCGGGATGTGCTTTAAATGGATGGCATGTAAGTAGCCCAAACATCTCGTGGTCTAGAGAGGGAACTTCTGAGTTTACCCTGAATGCTAAGGCAGGCACTCTCCTTTAACCGAGTGTGCATGGGCAGAAATGGCAACATTGCTACCCAGTCACACCAAGCTGGATTGATTCCTGCATTGCAAGGGGTTGAACTAGATGACCCGTGGAGCCCCTTCTAACTCTAAAATTCTATGATTCTTTGTTGTTTTCACTGGGTAGGTCTCATGCCCAGCTCTCCTCCTATAGTTCCATCCCTGCTATAATGCAATAAAACGTTTGGGCAATCCTAGGCCCTTTAGCACCATATAGTTAAGGTAAAGGGACCCCTGACCATTAGGTCCAGTTGTGACCGATTCTGGGGTTGCGGCGCTCATCTCGCTTTATTGGCCGAGAGAGCCGGCGTACAGCTTCCGGGTCATGTGGCCAGCATGACTAAGCCGCTTCTGGCGAACCAGAGCAGCGCACAGAAACAGCGTTTACCTTCCCGCCGGAGCGGTACCTATTTATTTACTTGCACTTTGATGTGCTTTCGAACTGCTAGGTTGGCAGGAGCAGGGACCGAGCAACAGGAGCTCACCCCGTTGCAGGGATTCAAACTGCTGACCTTCTGATTGGCAACCCCTAGGCTCTGTGGTTTAACCCACAGCCCACCCGCATCCCATCAGCACCATGTAATACTGTGCTAAACATTTGGGGAGGGTAAAAAAAAAAAAAAGGTGACCAGTATGAGCACCCCAGACATGACTCTTGTTCCAGGCTGAATAGCAGCACTCCTGTTTGGGGCTGGAGATACGCTGCAACAATTTGTTGTGGGTCCCCGCTCCCCTTACCACCACTAGCCAATTATATTCTATGTCAGATTTTAATCATAGCCAGATTATGCCTGCGCTGTGGCCTTTCTCCACACCAGGTCAGGTTTAGATTATTTCATGGCGCTCTCTACCCCAGGCCTCGCCTGCTTTCTTCCTCTGCTCCTATCTTAGTACATCTCCCGCTGAGTCTCAGCCAACAAGGAAGTTGCATCTTACTTCAAGGCAGCTATATTTCCTCTCTTAACAAAGGCAGGCTAGAAGTCTACTTCTCCTCCACCCATCCAGGCCCAGGCAAAGCGAGGGACGGGGTCCTAAGGCAATTTCCTGATGAGTGTCAGCTGTCACACTCTGTCGCACATTCAGTAAAGATCTGAAGGGCCAGGCGATGAGTGACTGGCCGTAATAACGCCACACGGAAGAGAGAGAGAGATTTGGGGCTGGCCCAAGACGTCGGGTGGAAATCGAAATGGCACTCCTTGTCACAAATTAAAATTGTGGTGCCAGGCCCTCAGAAAGTTTTCTTTTGGGGATGGCCACAAGAGGACTTGCCCTCCCCCAGAACCACCCATAAAAAGCAGGAGGGTGACAGGGCAGCAGAGGTAGTCCTGAGGCTCTGAAACGAGTTGTTAAAGTATCTATTGACCTTGGATCTATGGACCTTGCTTGTTCTTTTTTTTGACTGAACTCGCCTAGAAGGAGGTGAGGATTTTTCAAAAGAAGGCTGTGAGCCAGTGTTGGTTAAAATGGGGGCAAACCACTTTATTTGTACTTGTCTTAAAATGGGTTCCCAAGACCTTAATCAGACATTGTTGTTGTTGTTTAGTCGTTTAGTCGTGTCCGACTCTTCGTGACCCCATGGACCAGAGCACGCCAGGCACTCCTGTCTTCCACTGCCTCCCGCAGTTTGGTCAAACTCATGCTGGTAGCTTCGAGAACACTGTCCAACCATCTTGTCCTCTGCCGTCCCCTTCTCCTTGTGCCCTCCATCTTTCCCAACATCAGGGTCTGTTCCAGGGAGTCTTCTCTTCTCATGAGGAGGCCAAAGTATTGGAGCCTTAGCTTCAGGATCTGTCCTTCCAGTGAGCACTCAGGGATGATTTCCTTAAGAATGGAGAGGTTTGATCTTCTTGCAGTCCATGGGACTCTCAAGAGAATCAGACATTATTTATTATTAAATTTTATATTGCTTTCATATCCCACCTTTCATTGAAGAAGCTCAAGGTGACATACAGAGTTGTCCTTCTCCCCATTTTATCCTCACAAGAACCCTGTGAGGCAGGTTATGCTAAGACGATAACACACTGGCCTGTTTTTACTTTTTAAAATGCTCTGCATAAAACAATAAGTGTGGCTCTTTTGTTCCATTTTCCTCTCTCTTTTCTAGCAAGGCTGCTGTTGTTGTTGTTGCGCCTCTGTGCGTGATTTTCTTGGGTTGCAAAAATATGTGTGTCAGGGGTTCAGGAGCAGAGGCACAGGAAAGGGAGGAAATAGAGAGCGAGGGGGAGGAGTCCGAAGGAAATGTTAGCGATGACAGCGGTCCGAGGTCTCTGAGTCTTTCCAGCGAATCGGAAGATTCACAGAAAGGGGCTCCCTTGGTCAGAGCAAGGGGGTGCCGAGGGGGACACCCCAGGAAGAAGGGGCCAGAGGGGACTCAGAGAGCAGCAGTTGGAAATCAGGACCAGCGTCCACACCAGAGTGCAGTAGGGGGGAGGAGTCCCAGGCATCGGGATCAGGCGGCGCACTGCCAGTGGGAGGACATGAGTCAGGATTGGCCACGCCTCCATCGGGGAGCGAGGAAACGGTCGAGAGGAAGGTTGAAGGCTGGGCGCGCGCGCAAAGTTCAAATGTACAGGAGGGCGGCGCAGTTGGCAGCCCGGATAGGGAGCCAGGTCCCAAAGCCCGCCGAAAAGAGGGGAAGGAGTCAGCGGGGTCAGCGTCAGAAGAATCCAGGAAGGAAGGGACACCGGGGGGTAGCAGGACCCAGAGGAGAAAGGAGAGACGTAAGAGGTGGAGTAAGGCTAGAATCTTAAACTGGTGTACAGGGGGCGGAGACTCAGATGGAGCTTCGCCGATCTAACCCCTAGACGTAGAGCTGGGGCGCTCCGGCTTGAAAATGGAAACTGTACTTCAATAAAGACTTTTGTACATTACTGCCGGCTAGCGTTGGTCCTCTGTGAGCTGGGACCTGGAGCCAGCTCTGACAGTAAGCTCCATCCCAAAAAGTTTTGCACCAAAGACCTCGTAACGTGAGTGGACGCAGCGAGGGAAGAAGATTGGTGCTTCGCGAGCTCACAAAAGTCAGGCAAGATGACTACAGAACAGCAACTAGCAGCCCTGCAAAATGCAGTGACACAACTCAACGCGGAGGTACTCGCATCCAGGAAAAGGGAAGAGGAAGCGGCTGCCGCCTGCAGGGATCTCCAAGCCAGGTTGGAAGTGCTTGCTAAGCAGGGGCAACCGGGACCCAAATCAGAGGGGATTGGGCTGGGGAAAAGAGGAGGCAGCCTGGTATCTCATTTCGATGGGAATTTGCAGCAGTACCCTAACTTCCGAGCAGACGTGCTGTTTGCACTGGAACTGCTGGATAAAGACTTTAGAGATGAGCAAGAAAAGGTGGGGTTTATCTTGTCCCATTTGCATGGGGAAGCTAAAGCGTGGCTGCGCAATCTGTGGAGAGATAAGGATCCGGCGCTCCAAAATGCGGATGCATTCATTAAAGCGATGGATTCGTGTTTATCAAATATAGACATTGATATCGCCAGAAAAGACATACATGGGCTCAAACAAGGCAGAGCCAGTGTAAGGCAGTACCATTCCCGTTTTTTTGCATTAGTCCATGCGCTGGGATGGGAGAAGGATTCTGCCCCAGCCAGAGACCTTTTTGGGAAGGCTTGAATGCAAATGTGAAAGATGAGATTGCAAGGGGGGAGAGACCAAAGAGCACTCAGGAGGTTGTCCGGCGGGCGCTGCAAATTGGGGTGCGTCTGGAAGAACGTCCATGGAACAGAGAAGAAGGACGTTGGGGACGTACGCCAGTGAGAGCACCCCCCTCTTTCCCACGGATGCAGCGCGTGTGCAATCCCCACCTCCGCAAGGAGGGGGAGAGCAACCGATGGAGATTGGAGGCGCCAGGGCTCAGTCAACAACCAGAGCCTTAACACCGGGAGCAGTCAAAGCGAAGCCTCCTAGAGGGAACAGGAAGTGCTACATCTGCGACAGTGCTCAGCACATGGCGAAAGAGTGTCCCCAGAGGCTCCACAAGCACACTGCAGCCTCAGCAACAGTAACAGAAGCAACTCAGCAGAGGGAGCCACAGCAGGGAAACGACAGAGTCTGGTTGGAGGAAGAGGCACTGGGGCCCAACCAGACACGTCAATGAAGCCGTCCCCAGAGATTTTGCAGCCCACAGACCCCCTCCCGCCCAAACCAGTGGTGCAGCTCACAGCATCGCTCCAACTACCCAATGGACTCACTATGGAAGTGCCGATTACCATTGACTCTGGTAGTAACGCAGACTTCATAGGACTGGATTTCCTTCAAGAGCACAACATAGCACTCCTGCCAGCCACGCTGCCTCTGAAAGTTGTCACGGTGGATGGCAGGGAATTGCTGGGGGCAGGTGGTGCAGCAAACTCCTCCGATGGTGATGCAAATTGGGAATCACCGAGAAGTCATCAGCTTCAATGTCACCCAACTGTCGGACACGCCTATAGTATTAGGCATGAGTTGGCTGCACAGGCACAGCCCAGCATTGGCGTGGTACCAGCGACAACTGACCTTCGGCTCCTCATACTGTGCGGAACATTGCATTCTGCCTAGCCCGGAAGGGGAAGAGGATGACCCGCAGCTACAATTAGGCACGCTGCAAGCAGTGCCACTCAAGTACGCAGCGTTTTGGAGGTTTTCTGCGAGAAGGAAGCGGACAAGCTACCTCCCCACAGGTCTTATGACTGCAAGATTGACCTCCTGCCAGGGGCGACGCTGCCAACCGGGAAACTGTATTCCATGTCTGAAGACGAGCTGCAGGAACTCAGGGAGTTCATAGACCTCAACTTGAAGCGCGGTTTCATCCGGGAGTCGAAGGCAGTGGGGGGGCAGTCCTGTATTCTTTGTGAAGAAGAAGGACACGCCCCAAAAAGGCTTGTGGTGGACTATAGAATTTTGAACTCGAAAACCAAGCCCACAGCCTTTCCCATGCCCAAGATAGATGACCTGCTCGCAACGGTGAGGAAAGGACGCGTTTTCACAAAGTTGGATCTGCGAGGGGCGTACAACCTGATTCGCATACGGGAGGGCGACGAATGGAAGACTGCCATGTTCACGCCCCTGGGCACCTATGAATACAGAGTTATGCCCTTTGGATTACAAAATGGCTCCCACTGTTTTCAAGCCTTCATGCATCATGTATTGGCGGGTCTCCTCTACAAGAAATGCGTCTGCTTCCTGGACGACATCCTGATATTTTCAGAATCAGAGGAGACCCACGAGGGAGACGTCAAGGAAGTTCTGCAGAGACTGCAGGAGCACAGGCTGTACGCCAAGCTGGAGAAGTGCCAGTTCGACATGAAGGAGGTAGATTTCCTGGGCTACAAGTTGTCGGACAAGGGGCTCGCCATGGACAGCGCCAAGGTTCGCTCAGTGTTGGACTGGAAGAGCCCGCGCAATCGGAAGGAGGTCCAGCGGTTTGTCGGTTTCGCCAACTTTTACCGCAAGTTCATCAAGGGGTTCGCGATGCAGACGGCGGCCATTACCGACACGCTCAGCTCCAAGAAGAAGAAGTTCATCTGGACGGAGCAAGCGGAGCAGTCCTTTCAGAAACTCAAGCGTCTCTTCTCGTCCGAAGAGCAGCTACTGCATGTGAATCCCAGCAGACCGATGAGGGTTGAAATGGACGCCTCAGACAGAGCCGTGGGAGCAGTACTGTTGCAGCAAGACCCGCATGGGGACTGGAGACCGTGTGCCTTCTACTCCAGGAAGCTCAGCAAGTCAGAGCAGAACTACACCATCTGGGACAGGGAGTTGCTGGCCATTCATGCAGCATTCAAGGCGTGGCGGCACTTCCTCATTGGAGCCAAACACACAGTGCAGGTCCGCACGGACCATAAAAACCTGGAGTACTGGCGCACGGCAAGGTTCCTGAACCAGAGGCACATACGATGGGCGGAGTTCTTTGCGGATTTCGACTTCAGGATAGAGTACATCCCAGGCGACAACAACATCATGGCGGATGCACTGTCCAGAAAGCCGCAATACCTCGAGGAGGCGGCGCCAGCAGCGGCCAAGCACATTTTCGCACCGAAAGCGTGGGCGTGCGCTTCAGCAACCGTGGACCTGGATGCTGTACGTCGAGCACTGCAGGAGGACCCCTTCGCGCAAGCAAAGATGGCAGAGGTGCAAAGGGGCACGGCGGAGGACGACGAGTTCCAGATACGCGACGGATTGCTCATCCGCAGAGGGGCCCTCTACGTACCGGGAGACGACCTCCGCGCGAAAGTACTGCAGCAGTTGCACGACGCACCCACCGCCGGGCACTTTGGCAAAGAGAAGACGGTAGAATTAGTAGCCAGAGATTTTTGGTGGCCCAAGATGCGGGGGAAGTCGCGGATTACGTCTCGAGGTGCGACACCTGCCAAAGGGCCAAGTCAGTGCACAAACCGCCGGCGGGACTGCTCGAACCGCTGCAGACACCGCTCGAACCGTGGGAGAGGGTGGCCCTGGACTTTGTCACGGATCTACCCAGCTCGAGGGGCAAGACGGCAGTGCTAGTGGTGGTGGACATGTTCACCAAAATGGCCCACTTCATTCCGTGCGCGAAGGTGGCCACGGCGGAACAGACCGCCAAACTGTTCATAGACCACGTGTTCAGAGTTCACGGTCTGCCACGGTCTATCCTGTCCGACCGGGGTCGACAGTTCATCTCGAACTTCTGGCAGAAGCTGATGGGTTTCCTGAACGTCAAGATCAACCTAGCGTCGGCGAGACACCCGCAGACGAACGGACAAGCGGAGCGAGTCAACGCCATCATGCAGCAGTACCTGCGATGCTACGCAAATCAGCAGCCGGCAACATGGGTGGACTACCTGCCGCTCGCTGAGTTCGCCTACAACAACACGAAGCACGTGTCCACGGGGGTGACACCGTTCTTCGCCAACAACGGGAGGCATCCCAGAACCTTCCCGGGATTAGCGAGAGCGGGGAGGGGGAGCCACAGGCAGCGGAAGCCTTAGCATCAGAGTTGCAGGAGGTTCACGAACAGCTTAGGAGGCAGTTAGAACTAGCAAAGCACGCATACAAACTGCAGGCTGACAAGCACAGGAGGGTTGGGGAAGACATACAGGTGGGAGACTGGGTTTGGTTAGCAGCCCAGGCAGTGCCGGCCAGATCGTTAGCGAAGAAGAAGCTAGGGCATAAGCAGCTAGGACCCTACCAAGTCGAGGCACAGGTCAATCCAGTGGCTTTCCGGTTGACACTGCCGGAGGGATCCAGAATGCACCCAGTTTTCCATAGATCAGTGCTCACGCCCTACAAAGCACCTCATAGATTTCAGGAGCCAGGAACGGCACCAGACCTGTTCAGGGAAACGCCCACAAGGGGGGGGTCGCCAAGGCGGGAACCCGTCAACGAAGTCACAGAGATTTTAGACTCGAGATGGGGGGAGGAGGGAGTGGAATACCTCCTCGCCAAGGAAGGTACCTCGGCTAGCGCCAACAGTTGGGTGCCAGATTATGCTCTGGAGGAATCTTGGCTCAAGGACGAGTTCCATGCACTTTTCCCACACAGGCCCATGCCAGCCGAGTATTTCGACGACTGGCTTTTCACACCCACATTTTCAGCTAGCACATTCCAGGGGTTCACCTCGGACGAGGAACCGGCACTAGAAGCACGTCCCCGGAGGGATCACCCTCGGGGTCTGCCTCAGACCGTTCCTATTGGTGGGACACTCAACCAGAGGAGCAGTGGCGCAGGAAGTGGTGGGGGGGTCCTTGGCAGGCAACGTCCCCGGAGGAGACCGGGGAGAGACGGACATGGACGTGTTGGGGGAGGACCTTGGGTTCGAGCACGGCGGCAAAGAGATGGAAGCAGAGGAAATTGAGGTCGGCGAGAGCACGGAGGACGAGCCGGACTTATCCGGCTGGATGCACGCCACGGGGACGAACTGTATCCGGCACTCACCCCCACAACGACGGAGCACCCAGTACCCACACCTGAAGGAGGGGAGGGGGAAGGGGGGCTTCGAGGGGGATGGATGTCAGGGGTTCAGGAGCAGAGGCACAGGAAAGGGAGGAAATAGAGAGCGAGGGGAGGAGTCCGAAGGAAATGTTAGCGATGACAGCGGTCCGAGGTCTCTGAGTCTTTCCAGCGAATCGGAAGATTCACAGAAAGGGGCTCCCTTGGTCAGAGCAAGGGGGTGCCGAGGGGGACACCCCAGGAAGAAGGGGCCAGAGGGGACTCAGAGAGCAGCAGTTGGAAATCAGGACCAGCGTCCACACCAGAGTGCAGTAGGGGGGAGGAGTCCCAGGCATCGGGATCAGGCGGCGCACTGCCAGTGGGAGGACATGAGTCAGGATTGGCCACGCCTCCATCGGGGAGCGAGGAAACGGTCGAGAGGAAGGTTGAAGGCTGGGCGCGCGCGCAAAGTTCAAATGTACAGGAGGGCGGCGCAGTTGGCAGCCCGGATAGGGAGCCAGGTCCCAAAGCCCGCCGAAAAGAGGGGGGGGAGTCAGCGGGGTCAGCGTCAGAAGAATCCAGGAAGGAAGGGACCCCGGGGGGTAGCAGGACCCAGAGGAGAAAGGAGAGACGTAAGAGGTGGAGTAAGGCTAGAATCTTAAACTGGTGTACAGGGGCGGAGACTCAGATGGAGCTTCGCCGATCTAACCCCTAGACGTAGAGCTGGGGCGCTCCGGCTTGAAAATGGAAACTGTACTTCAATAAAGACTTTTGTACATTACTGCCGGCTAGCGTTGGTCCTCTGTGAGCTGGGACCTGGAGCCAGCTCTGACAATGTGCATTGACACTAATTTCAGGTCGTAAAGTCTCTTCTACCAATCATTAATATTGTGCACAGTATAAGGCTGAGGAGCATCGTAGGCAGAAAATTAAACAAGGGAGCTTGCCACCCACTCACTGCACACCTTAATGTGGCGCATCACCCGATGAATTTCTGCCTGGCACATGCCAATTAAAGGCACAGCAACCCTGCCAGCAAAGAAAGTGGCAACTCTATCAGCTTGAAAGCATACTTCCCTGTCAGCAAAACTGGTGCGAAAAAGGATAATCTGAACAACTTTCCTTTTTGGGGAGAAGGGAGAACTGAATACCAGCCACCCTTGTAACAACTGTAGGTAGAATTGCTGTTTTCGATTCTAATTTTCCATCCCTTAATTGAATGGATTGCTGCCAAGGACACCCACTCTGTTTACATTCCATCTGCTTCTCCTGTTTTTCAGTAACAGCTTGGTGCAACAGCCTGCAGCTTCAGCTCCAGGCAGCTGGGGAATAGACACTCTCACTCTTTCTCAGCATCCCATCGCTTGTACTTAAACATCTTTATTAATGGCTTGAAGGAGGTGAGTAAACAGCACATGATGTTCTCAGCGCCAGGTAAAGGCCAGTATATTTTACTTCCAGCTGTCTATCAGCTACATATTACAGATGGAAGTTGCAGACCAAGGGAAATCTGTAAATCACCCAGGAGAGGCAGTTTCAGGAGGAGATGTTCACACCAGGGGCAGATTTTGGCAATATGGCACCCTGCGCAAGGGCAAAAATCCCACCCATCCCCAATTTCTTATTTTCACAATAATTCCTTTTGGTACAGCTGCTTTTTTATGGATCTTCTCTGCAGGTACCCATATAAATATAGGTATTGTTGTTTTTACTAATACTCCCTGGGCTCTGCACCCTGTGCAGGGGACGGGGACGACCCACACTGCCCTAAATCGGGCACTGCTGAAACAAGTAAATTTGCATGGGCTTGTGTTTTTGCGAGGAAAGGCCTGCCAAACTTGGGGTATCCTCCTTCAAGCATATTTTTCCAAATAATTTTCAGATTCCACCCCAGATGACTTCCTTTCCCACAGGTGCTACTTATCACTGTGTGGACATTCCCTTTGAATATGATCGCTAACTTTGGGCCAAAGCTGTCCTCTCAAAGGTTTAGCATGAGCTGCGCCCCGGATGAATATGCAGCAGCATGCGCCAGAAGTTAACAGACTGTGTGGCCCCACAGCCACCTCCGTATCTCAGTAGGGAGTCCCCAAACATCACCACCCTTCTCTTCTTCCTGCAGTGCTTGAGTCCCTGAAGGGTTGAGAGCCTTCTTTATGGTATCCCATACCATACAATGTGCTCTGTGTGTTAAGCACATGCTGGACCTCTGCCATAGCAGGGCCTGTGTTGGTCAAAGCCAATCCACCCAGCTTCGGGGAAAGTGGGCAGGTTCCAGACCCTTTACAACACTGTCATCAAATGCAGTTATCCCCCCAGAATAGCAAATTATTGCTCTTTGTAATATTTCTTACACACCTTTCATCCGGGGTCAGTTACAACAATGTAAAAATACAGTATTAGGCAGCTGAAACACTAGGCATTCACTTATACAAAAGTAAACAAGGCTCCACTTTGGGGTTTTGTCTTCCTGCAAGCTTTAGCCAAAAATGTCAACTAGCCAGTGCTTAGGACTGAGTTTTGATTCTTGGTCTTGCTAGAGTAGGACAGAATATCAGGCAACAGCACAGGCTGAAAGTTGCTGTGGCTGAAAATGTGTTCTTCGTTAGATAGCCTGACAAAAATGCTCAGCCTACAGCAGCTTTTCACATACAGAACTAGAAAACTCTCTGGCTTATGTTGTTTGTACCAGCAGGACACTTAATCCCTTCTGCTGCTAACAACTGGGTTTTGCCAGTCTTGAAGGGCAGAAGTATGTGTTCAGCACTAAAAACAAGTATCAGCTCAGCATAGTTCATTGTAAGGGCACTTGGCCCAGGAGTGCGCAGTGGGGCAGTGGTAGCATTGCACCCCCTTTTTGAGTGGACGACTCCTCTTTGCTTTGACGCTTGCATGACATAAATGCTGGCAGACAGTTTCCATGTTATAAATCTTTATTTATAGATGTACAATTGTATAATTCTAAATTAACAAACACAGCCTTTGCAAGTATCTCTCAGGATCTATGCTTTTTTATTGCACATCGCTCATAACATCCATGGCTATCTATCTACTTAAGAAATCAAAAGGTTTGTGGACAGGTAGGCACCGGGATTGCCAATGCCGTTTTCCGAGACGTCGGCAACTTCATGCTGAATGGGGTGACCCTCCAAACACAGTTGGAGCTCAAGGGATCACTGCAGGTTAGTTAACAGGACTGAGGTTTTAGACAAAGATGTGGCCCAGGTCTTCCATCACAAAACAATATGGGGCAGGGCGGTCTTCTTGTGGCTTTAAGTACACACTGAGCAAATCCGTCCTTCAGTGTGGGCAAACTTATGGCAGGTATCAAGACTGATTAAAAGGCAAACTCAGTGGCTTATCTTAAATGAATATCCAGTTTGTCGGCTCCAAAAGAACAGGATGAGTTAAAAGGATATTTTACCAGTTACACCTAACCTGTCATTTGGTACCTGGTATTCTATTCTGAACAAGCGAATTTCCAGAAGGAATTCTGAATGCTCTGTATAGAAAATGCCAATGGATGAAAAGGAAGAGCAAAACAGAGAGGAATCCAGCTGGTGTGGTCAGTGGCAACTCAGCGTAACTAAGTCTTCTCTTAACAGGACACATTTGCCTTGGTCAAGAGCACCTATTTAGTTCCACACAAGAGGAAAGAATGCAGGGTAGCCTTCCTCCTTAGATGGCAATGGAGGATCCAGCACAGAGACAGGAGGAGCACACAACTAGATTCGTCAGAACTGTGAGCATTAACCTTTACTCAGCTGCATGTAGTCATGTTAAAAGCACAGTATCTGCTTCTAAAAACACAAAACAAAACAAAAAACAGGATGGGCATCACTAAGGGAAATGAGTTACTATTTTTTTAAAATCCAATGGAAAATAGACTATACTGTCCGGTCAAGTAAAAGGAATAGTACCAGTCCCTTCTTTTAACTTGCTCAAGCAAACAGAGACAGTAGCAAAACCTCTTTTGACAAAAAGACCCTGTTCTCTTACAGAAACCGATAAAGGGCAAAAGCCAGCAAACAAGGCTGCCATGCCTTGGACTTCCCTTCCTTGGGCTACCAAAGCCCCACCAGTATGAATTGAGGATGTGTATCGGGGGCGACCCACTTTGCTGACAGACACCAGGTTCCTGGAATGAAATCAGCAGTCACTGTTTGCCAAGAAAAGGAGGCAGCTTTGCTTACAACTTTATAGCACTGCAAGATAGAAATCATCGGGGGGGGGGGGGATGGCCAGGAGGAGGTTTCCACGAAGAACGTCCATGTACCAGAATGAACACTGATTAAAAGGCAGAGAACACAGGGACTGCAAAACATAAAAATAAGAAGTTCCACGCGAAAAGCACAAGCAACCTCAACGAAGTAAAGGGACGAATCTCTCTCGCTCTATGAGCATCAAGCCCTCTGTTGAAAGGTCATGGATTTAGACCACAAATCCAAAACTGGACTGAAAATTGTGTGTAGAAAAAACCTCCCTAGCAATTTTAGTGATTCTCTTATACAAAAAAAGGGGGAACGATTTCTCCAGTAAAACCAAGCTATTAAAAAATACAAAACTTGTGTGTCATCAGACAAGGTTGCTTTATGTAGGAAAGTTTTCACGGGGTCAAACAGAGAGAGAGAGGGAGAGAGGGGAAAAAGGCTAAAATTCACACATCTTGGGCTATGAAGTTCGGCAAAATAATGAAATAATTTAATTCTATCCCTGCATAGTTTAGAAGTACAACATATTTACAGCTATAAGTTAATTCTAAATAATTTATCTTGCTTTTTAAAATTGATTTTTTTTCCTTTTTCTTTTTAACTCCTACAGATCTTCCAATTTCTCCCACTCTCTTCGAAGTGACCAGTGCAATTTCAAAAGCTCTCTGATTTTCTCCAGGCTTTAAAAGAAAAACAACTCAACGCTTGCTCTCAGAGACATATGACAGTTGATAGTGAAGGAAGCAGAAAAAAGACATGGTCTCCCCCCCCCCCCTTCTAAGAGATGTCCGAGTCTTAACGCTGGACAGAGAGAGAGAGAGGAGAGGGCAGTTGTGCGTTGCTAATTCTCCAATTCCATTTTAATTTAAGGTCTGATTCTTTAAATAGAAAGTCTCCTTGGCTCAGTGCACTTCCCCCAAAGTCTTGAGGCATCTGAAGAGTCTGAGAATAAAAGCAGTAACAGTATTAGAAGGATAATGACAACCCCAGAGAGCATGTTCCACAGTTTCTCCCACCCCTATAAACTGGACTAACTGGAAATGCTAATCTGCACATTTAAATATATATAGTCTTGCCATTTGACAACTTGGTACATGGGGAAATTCCCATAACAGTCAACAATGAGGCCTTGCCACTTTCTAGGTAGAGGAGATATTAAAACAGCATGAAGCACCAGAAGAAAGAAAAACCAAAACATGCCCATAGCTTCCGAAACAACAGGCCTGGGGAGAAAAGGTTCCCACAGCATCATAGCCCTCATCCACTCGGTCCCCCTACTGGCACAGCTGCTTTTAAATTTTGCAAGGTTTTTGAAACTGGAAATTTCAATCACAGCGCTTCTGAGTATTATGCAGTTTGACCCGAAGCACTAAGGCCTTAATGGGGAAGGAGAAGATCACTCCTCACTGGCATATTTTTATACAGATCTTTTTTGAACTTTGCGCTGGTTTTGTATTGTTTTAATTTTCTCTACGTCTCTCTATTCCAATATTTACAGGGAAATCTCACCACAAAGTGATAAAATCCTTGCCATTCTCTGCAACCTCATTTGCACACCTTGTATGCCATATCTGTACACCAAGCAGCTCCTCAAATGGTTCCGGAGATGTCACCAGGCTGCTGCAAAACCTGCTTTTTTTGGTTGTTTGCAACGACACAATGAAAATCGCAATTCCTCTTTAAAGAGATTCCCCCTCCCCCCATTTCCTAGTTCTTTCGAGTTCTGTGCTGGTTCCATAGAACCGTTTTTCCCATTCAAGAGGCAGCAGGCAGTACAAACGGGCTTATCACAGGTGGGCAAAGTGGCCCAGTTGCTTGGAGCAGCTTCAGAAGTCAGAGAAGCACCTACAACGGAATGAGAAGTTACTAAACTGCTCATTCCACTAACGGCGCTTCCATGGTAGTAGCTGGAACTGCTTTCTTTTCAGATAAGTTCTGAAATTCTCAGCTAGATGAGAAAGTAGAAGGATGCTCTCAAATAAACATGTGACAGGCCAATCAGCTGCAAGGTCATTTTGTTTTGGTCCCAAATGCTATGGAGGAGAAGCTGAAAGGAACCCAAAAGGCCAAAGTACAAACCAAGCCTAATGTCCTGGCGTTACGTGTGACTTCTTGATTAAGGGATGTCTGTGCGTGGAAAAGAAGACCTACATCTATAAGTTAGACTAAGCCAGCAAATAAGGACTATGGTGCCGTGCTTGAGAATCATGGGGGGGAGGGGGGAGGCATTAATCACCAGCTCTTACTTAGCTCTCTATGGACTGTTTCCGCAATAGTTATCCATGCATAGATGCCTGAACTTCAGACAGCCTGCTGCAGCTTGGCGTGCCCATCTTCTGTGCTCTCTGATACAGATCTGAATCTCCAAAGTAACGTGCCCGGTACAGCAAGCCTTCCTCTGCAAAAGAAAGCCATTACCATTGAAGCAATTGTCACGAAGGCTGGCAAGCATAATTATTCCCTTGGGCCTGTATAATACTTGTTCCCAGATACTCCCCACTGGAGAGATGGTTTGCCTCCTAGTTGCTTCTGGAAAGAGGACATTTCCCACCACCTATCCCATTTTGTCACAAGTCCCTTTGAGCAGGGAGCTGTAAGGGAGTCAACAAAAACATTCATCTACTGCTATGCACCTGCCTCAGACATTGCAACTACAGCTTATTTTAGGGACAATTTCTAAAGTAGGGTTGGAACAGGGCAGACAGCTTGGTTACTACTGAAAGCACATCAGAACCTGTCTTTGTCTCTACCTTTTGGAGGATTATTATCAGCAAAGTTATTGTGCTGACCATAGGTGATGATGATCAGCTTTGTCTAGAACAAGATTTAGCGGTAGCATCTGAATACACTGGACCGAGGTCCTTCCGTGAACCAGACTTGTAAATATGTCAGGGTTGTCTTTTCTTTAGGATCAGAACCTTCCAACACCTTTGTCAAGCTCTAGGGATGGGAAAAGTCAACTTGGAGAGACAGCTTTCTCTAAGGGATGGCCCAGTAGCCAGCCTGAAAACCAGATCTAGCTCCACAAAGGTTGGGACACTCACTCTGTTGTTTTTCCTTCCAACAGTTATTTCGGAGATTTGCAATATAGTCGTCTTCCACGCTCCTCTCCACGTTTTTCAGATTTGTCCCAGTGTATTCTTCTGCAAAGTTGTCAGCTACAAAGTAAGATACTTTCAAGTGTTCGGTTGTTCTCTTGTATATATGGCCAACCGACCTGGGAAAGGGGAAGAAAAAGAAAGATCTAAACCAACAACACAAATGAGTTTGAATAAGGAGATAATAAGCCATAGAGCAGTCTTGCTAAAATGTGAGGCCCACCCAAACCAAATGCAGGACCCTTGGCCATGTACGGTGGCCTGTAAGGTGGAAAAAACAACAACCTCTGTTCCCCCCCGTCTAGCAAAACCAAAGTGGTTGTGAAGTACCTTGCAAGCCACAGTACCTTGCTCAATGGGACACAAACTGCAAGGGCAGAATGGACTAGGGGCACGGGAGGCATTCCCAGCAGGATAATACTAAATCTATTAAGCAACTACAATTTCACTTACTGCACTGAAGTACTTTGAAAAGTGAATAATAGTACACGTGTTTCGGAACAGAAAAAGTGTCATTGACTTCATCAGTCTCTCCTCAGACCCAGCAGTATGCTCTTACACCTTCTTTTGCCATTTCCTCCCCACACATTTATCATCCTATGCCTGAAAGATGTTCGGTCACATTTATCAGCTTGGGACCTCTGGGCTGCCAACTGAGGCAGGCAAGCCATCTTCAAGAAAACCTCTTCGCTCTGCAAGCGAACTCCCGATATAGGTTCCAGCACAAGAGGTGGGTGCCCATTAGCTCACATTCACTTAATATGGCTGATGGCAAGAGGAACATTGGGGGGGTTCACCCTTCCTGATGGCAACCAACCCTAAAAACACCAGCTTGTGCTAACAAGAAATGACTTTCAAGTCCCATTATTCACCTGGAAAGAGAAAAGATCTGCTCTTCCCCTAAAGCAACAGGAGACCAGACTAAAATAGGCTGCTGGCAAGATTGATATGCTTGCCTGAAAATATTCCCTAACATTGTCTCTAATAAGCAGTTTTTCTTCTTCTAGGGAACAGAGTATAATTTCACAGTCTTTTAAACAAAATCAAAATACATTCAATTTTCTTTCTTCTTTTTTTTTTAAATGCTGCCTTTAATCTCTAATGCAAGAAATCTGCCCATGGCAAAATTTACAGGAGCTTGTACTCCTGGAAGAGGAATTTTGAGATCATCTGTGGAGTGACTCCATCTCCGACTGACCCCCAACACAGACACACTAGGATGAAGAGCATGAGGTCACTTGGCCTTGCATCAAAATCCAGCAACAGGCCAAGGGAAATGCAAAAAGCAAGACTACCTGTACCCAGAGCATAGGGCAGTAGCAAATATGAAGGGGGGACTTTAAGAAAACATGCTAGAGGTTCTTCTCAAGGGTTTATTTACACAGGTGACGATTTACAAAAGAGTATTAAACTGATCACTTGGAAGCATTTAGATGGCTTCTGAACTTTTCAGCAGCAATGCACTTCCTTTTACCAGCCAAGACAGATGGTGAGCTCAGCTTACCAGATTTCCCCAACAGCAGCAGGGTCTAGTGCAAAGCAGTAGCTGGCGAGTCAGCATCGCCCCCTGCTGGCTGACACTGCACATTTGTCAGTCATAATTGCTGCGGCTGCAATGACGGAACGCTAGCAGAATGCGTTTATATTATATTCAGTTGCTCAGACAGGGGATGGGATTGCTGCCAAGATGTTTGCCACTTGGATGAGGCAGCTAATTTGCTTGTGATGAGCCAACAGTGGAATTGATGCATTTGGCTTTCCATCCTAATCTCAATGGGGGAAGGATATGCAGTTTGATAAAAGGAGTCTGAGAAAGGAGGCAGCTCAAGGGCCCTAAACACAAAGGGGAAATCACAGGCTTAAGGGTTCAGACCCTTTTCCTGGCCTTTTCCAGACTACTAAATATACAAAGGGACCCGGAACAAAGTATCAAACCTTAGCAACGAAGCTAATGTAAGGACCACCAAAATGAATTAATCCAATCCTTACCATTGATGGAGTGGAAGCAGTTGAGCGACATCACCCAAAAAGCCTTTATTTAATAAATATACACAAGGAAAAGCCTGTGTTACAAGCTACTAGCTTCCTCCTGTTTGATGCTACTTTGGTAACTGCTTTCGACATGATGCTGCAGCAAATGCACATTTGCTGCTCAGGGAAGCAAATAGTGCAGATGTGGATTTTCATTCAAAATCTACCCCTGCCCCACGGCTTGTATCAAGCGGAAGCCATGCACTCAGTACTGTGGGCCCAATTCTGCGGAACTCCCTCCTCAGATCAGACCAGTTCCCTCCCTGTTGAACTCCTGATTCTGGGTGAAGACATTTTCTTTTTTTAAAAAAACAAGCCAACACACCAGCATGTATTTTAAGTAAGTTCCCCCCCCCCCCTGATTTTATAGCTGACTTCAGCTGTAAATCTATTGTATCTCTTTTGCAACCTTATTATGCACTGCTCAAAAATTAGTGTTACATCTATGTAGCATACCATCCATGTTGCAGTTTGTAAAATGGGGTGGTAGTATTTTAAATCTAATCATCCTCCCTGTGTTACATATTTGGGCTCCTGTACATATTCCAAATCATTCAGATGGCTCCCTTCTGTCAGGGGAATATCTTCCAAGAAATAACAGCACATCCCTGGGGGTTTCCAACCTACTTAATAAGGGTGGAGACAGATTTCACTTGGTCATACAGAACCTGAGCTAACTGCTGAGCCCCTTAGCAGTACTCAGCCTAATTCTCAAACATCCCATCTCACAGATAAGCGCCACAGCATCCTATCATGGGCACAACATTCCCAGTGAGCCACTCCAAGTGGAGTTTAGGCCAGAAAGGTGCATTGCAAAGGACAAGCCCAAACGGAGCACTCTTCTCCATCCGTGGCATCTCGTTCTCCTCGCCATCCCTCTCTTCCTTCCTGGAAGGCAGAATGGAAGGGAAAGACCAAAACAGATCTTCTCTTTCTCATGGGCTCAGGTATCCAGATGCCCTTTCCCTTCTAGAAGTGGAAGTAGCAGATGAGAGAGGAGACACATTCATCACAGGATCAGATCCAGCCTGTGGCTTGCAGAGAAAGCACGGGGGGGGGGGGGGAGAGAGTCCATGGACTAAACATTCAGAAATGTTCTCCTTGCAGTATATCTAGTTCTTTCCCAGATAGCACCATCGTCAGCCTTAATCAGCTGGTCAACTTGGTCACTGCACCATGAGAGCTGAGCTGAGCTTATAGCCTCAAGCACGTTACAACTAATGAAACCTTTCACATGGCAGAGAAGACACCAATTACAGAGGATACAGGTTTTGTCTTTCCCCACAAGATTTGATAAGCAGCTTGCAGGAATCAAGAACCTCAACTTGACACCACAGGGGAAAGCCTGCGGGAAGAGGTGAAGGGTTCTCTTCACTCCTGCAAAACCGTTTTTCCAGAATAGTTTTTTCTTAACCCCTGCATAACTTGGAATGCCACTTTACACTCACCCATGCAAACCATGTTGGAACCTAGAAGCTTGTGCCAATGTCACTTGGAAAATTTATAAAATGAATGCATGAAAAATTCCAAACCAAAGATCTGCCGATGTGGAAAGCAACACAAGGGATTTGTTAAGTAACACATTCATTTGGGCAATGACCACAGAATGTCTCTTTCTGAAACAGCAACCGTTTTCATGATAACAGATATAGTCGGGTTTCTACAGAAGACATGTGCAGACAGATTCTGATCAAGGGGAAGTTTCACACAAGTGAGTCCTGCCCCCCATGCATCCTGAAGTCCTGTGCACAGAGTATTCTGACCACGTGAAGATCTAAAAGGTTTAATCAGTGTGAGAGAAAGAGACGGAAAGGAAAAGAAGCAACACAGGGGAAAGAATGCATCAAACAAAAACGGCAATTGGCAAAAGACTTAAGCCAACTGTGTAGAAGAGTAAAGGGAACTAACGGTCTGTGGCTCAAACTGTAAGGTGGACTGGAGACCATCATCTGGCTGAGAGCAGAAACGATGATGAGGATGAGAATAGGCATCAGCTGGACAAACAGCCCAAGGCCACCCTAGGGAGGAAGAAGGGAATGTCATCAGTGCATTTGCATTCACAGAAGGGCCTCATCATTCTTGCTCAGACCAAGCCCTGGGTGCAGGGAGGAAAGGAGGGACTTGATGTTGAAAGACCAGCCACTGCAATGGTAGTAACACCAAGCACTTTCACAGCACATTAAGAGTGCTCAAAAGTTATTTTGAAGGCTTTATCTCAGCAATAACTGTAACGGAGATGTGGCCCTCCTGATGTTGTTGGAGCTACAATCATAAGGACACAAGGAAAGCTCTGATGCCAGCAGTTCTCAACCTGTGGGTCCCCAGATGTTGTTGGACTACAACTCCCATCATCCCTGAACTCTGGCCCTGCTAGCTAGGGGTGATGGGAGTTGTAGTTCAACAACATCTGGGGACCCACAGGTTGAGAAAGGCTGGGTTAAACCCAGGAATTCTCCAGTCCAGCATTCTGTTTCCACAGTGGACAACCAGATTCCACTGGCAAACCCACAAGCAACATGTGAGCGCAGTCACACTTTCCCACTTGCGTGCCCCAGCTACTGCTATTCCAGAGCACGCTGCTTCCAATACTACAGGAAATATACAGCCATCATAACTAGTAGCCATTGGTAAGTCTCAATGGACAGCCATCCACAATGGCTGGACATGCTGGCTGGGGCTGGCAGGCGTTCTGAGCCCAACATCATTTGGTGGCCCACAGGGCCCCCAAACCTGCCTTTTAACATGGCTGTAAGGTAGGCCAGTATCATCATTATACCTGTACCACAGATGGGGGGCAGGGACTGAGAAAAGAGTCTCTCTTGCCTGATGCCCCAAGCAAGTCCAGAGGCAAGAGGTGAACATCCTAGTTCACAGCCTGGCACTTGGCTCTTCTGCATTTGAATTATGAAACTTTAAAAAGGCACTCAGTGCAGTGCACTGGAGGATGCAATTGTACTGGTAGTTAAACGCAATTGAAGACAAGTAGTCACTCGTCCTCTATTTGGCAACTCAGTCCTAAGGGCGAAAGCTGCATCCTGGGGGAAAAAATCGCAATCAAATATAAAAGCAAAAACCCAGTGGGGTTGCTTTAGCTTTCGGCTAATTAACAGTTAACAAACCAGCTGGGACAGAGGAGTACGGAGAAGCAATGCTTTACTGGAACGGGTCAGTATGTTTTGAAGCATTTTTACTTTCTCTTCCTTCTGGCCGCAACTTACATCTCCTTGATGCTCCCGCCTGTCTTGCCTCTGGTGGTAGGTATATCGCATCCTGCCGTTGCTGTATACGTGAACGTTACCTGTGGGTGAAAGCGGGAGTTGTTAAGAGCAACCAATAATATGGTGTCAGCAAACTGAGGCAGCGTATGGCCGAGGTCACAGCAAAATTTGGAATATTTCACTGCTGGAATGGAATTTAACCAGGCCCTAACAAGTGCAGCGACAGGTTAGAAGGTGATAGTAAGAGCCCCATGACAGGACAAACTCCATAATGGGTGAGATGACAGGCTGGGTTGTTCCAAAGGCTGCAACAGAGAAACCAGCTTAACCAAGACTTTATACTGAGTTACGCTCGTGTGGAAGATGCGTTCCACTGCACTAACAGGTAGGTCGTATTTACGATCAGGGTTCTAATCCTTTAGCAACTAACCCCTTGGTGTGTCAAAGGAAATATGAATGGAAGAACAATGCAACTTTAAAGGCTTTCTCAAAAAGTAAGCGGCAGAACTGCTCAAGTCACAACTGCAAAAGTAGCCTAGGCTACTGACATGGGTGCAGTTCGGCTCGAGAGAAGAATGACAAAACCTTGTCTTATTTGCAACTCTTACTTTTATCGCAGGGCATATGCCACCTGGCAGGTAGGTCACCCGGCACAGAGTTGTGAGTCTCTCGCTCAGGAAAGATGGGCAGTGGTCATAGAAATGGACCTTCACAGTCCCCTGGCGTTACTTTTACAGGCCTGTTCCCCACATTCCTGCATGTCCCACTTTGTGGCTCTTAAGACAAAGGATCCCCAGGCGGTTGCTATTCAGCCACCCCACTCCCTGAGCCGGGGGGGGGGGGGCTCTGGTTCCCAGAAGGTTCATCATCTCACGTGGCTCTCCCCGACGTTCCCTCCAGGTAGATTCCACCACTCTCGGAGGCTTCCTGCTGCAGGCAGAGACGGTGCACTCCCTGTGTCGTCTTCCTTTGGGCTCTCTATTAAGGGTGGGGCCTGCCAGGGAGACTCAGATAAGTACAACCCCCCTCCTCTCCTCAAAAGCCCTTCCTCAGTTCTTGAGAGCCCTACAGGTCACTCGGCCTCAGTCTCATCTGTTCCCCCTTGCTTCTTTCCCCCCGCTTTCCTGCTCTGGCTACCTGTTCACCATATCGTCTCCTAGACATGGTCAGGAGCTGGCACCAAACTGACACCGACACGCCGGTCAGAAATTACTCCTTAGAAAGAGGAGGGAGAGGTCAGGGGTTTTCTTAAGATTGGTGCAGGCAATGACACCTTTGCTCCTGGAAATCTGCCTCCTGATTTCTTGGTTGGCTCCCTTGCATCTGTCACACATCTGCCACTACGGAGCTTTCCAATCTTTAGGGGATGTTTAGTGCTTTCAATAGCCAGGCTCTAAGGCATGCTAAAATCCCTCCAAAAGCTTATGATAGAGAACAGCAACCTGCTGGGGATCACAATAGGTTAGAGAGCCAAAAGCTTTGGGAAAGTGGAGGGCAAGGAGTACATGCATCAGTCTGATCCCTAATTTTTGTTTCTTAAGTGCTTTTAAAGCTCAGAATTCCAACATGCATATCAGGCATAAGACACACTCGAGAGATGGAGAGTAAACAGTGCATGTTCACGGATGTTTTGGAAAATGAACATGTGCTTGCCCCCTTTGGATCTGACATTACTGCTCAAGGAGTACTTTTTGGCGAGGATCTGTGCTGTGGAAACATTGAAAACAAATGTAATTTGGCCAATGTGTGTTTTTCTTTGAAAAGCACCCTAATATTGCACCTGTACATCATCTAGGAGTCTTTATCAACACATAAATGTGCATATTTAACACACTGGCTTTGATGCTATATAAATATTTTTTTAGATTTTTTTTTAAAGCTGTAATTTTCCATTTGCTTTTTCCATTTGTTATTTCTATTCAGCTACAAGCTGTAATATTAGCAACACACTTGTTTTTATGCCCTGAAGATTTGCGAATTCCTACAATGGGCATCTCATCAATGGGCCGCTATCCATTTCTCTCATCTACCTGAAGGGCTTTTTCCATTGAAACATGCACTTCTTTTGTAACACACAGCTGTGGAACTAATAAAGCTTTTTGCAAAGGCCTGGGATTTTCTGCCTTTAGGATACAGTACAGCAGACTTATATTTCACACGAGTAAAGATAGGAGCAGAGATATGTTAACAGTGACTATTGTCCAGGCAGCACAAAAGCACCAGCAACTTGCATTTTTAAACTAGAGCAAGATATGGTGGTTTAATCCAATCCCTGGACCGCAAAGCCTTTCTTTGTGGCATGCAAAACATTTAGAAAGCCACAGAGTCTTGTTTCAACGTCAAGCTTCGTTGATCACAAACACCAGCGAAGTGACCAGGGGAAGAAATCACAAAACCACAATGGCCAGGGACCATAGAAAAAAAATGGGATGCTCTTTCCCCATGCGTAATCACACCATAGTGCATGTTTTAGGAGAGTCGGCTGTCAAATGGGAGCTGAGTATTTATTGTTTCATGGCATCAGTTTGGATCCAAATGCTAGTACAGAACTGAAGGTAGCAGGTCATAGGAAGTGCATATACATACAGGGTGGGTCTTTTAAAAGAGGGCCCGTGGAACATGTGTACTCTGTATCCACCCTGTGTGTGTGGTGTATGTATATGTATAGGCTAGAACTCCTCTCTCTGATATGTCTGCTTTCTATGTGCCGAGATCTTTTTTTATTCAAGGATCATTCAGTCACACAACCCCCCACCTGTACTTTGAAGTGGTACAGTTCAGGAACAGTTTTGCCAGCTCATCTGCTGTTTATGGGAACCCAAGAGTGACTTTAGAACTGGTTAATGTGTTGCAAGGCCTACGGCACCATTTCCTATATAACCTGCTACCCTTGCAAGGTTTAAATTTAGTTAGATGATGCAGATCAGATCCATTCCTGCTGGCGGTTGGCAGAGCCTCCGAATTATCTAGTGCGGAAAGAAGAACGGGAAGGAGCTCTTACGAGGGCAAATGGCCGCGGACTAAGCAATCTGTCACCAGCAGCTCTACCAATTATTGAAACCACAAACAGTGTACGCTGCGGAAAAGGAACCGGGACGGCAACTAATTCCAAAGGATTCAAGCAAGGGAGCCAAGGCACATGCTGCAGGGAATGCAACCTCTTCCAAACACTCCATCCTTCACCTCTCTAGTCAATTTCGACCCCAAGGAAAAGGCCTTCCTAGTTCCAAGTATGGTGATCATATTGGGCCTCAGACACAGCACCTCTCTATGTTGTGAGTTCTGCAGGTTGAGAGGGGGAGGCCCACAACACCTCCACTCAGCTGGCTGAATAATCTGTCCAGTAGGCAGCAATGATTTTCCTTTCCTTACCCCTGGGATGGGGACCCTGTTGCCCCCCGTTGTTGGTGGACCTCAGCTCCCTTCATCCCTGACCCCTGGCCATGCTGAGCAGGGATGATGGAAGTCCAACCACACCTGGAGGGCGACAGGTCCTGTCTTCTACCTACAGGGAGGGAAAGCGTACTTCAAGCACAACACAGCCCCTGAGGGAAGCTTTCTCACTCAAGAGCTCCATTTTCGCTTGTGCAGCCCAAGCAGGCAACCGCACCGGTGCTGGGCTGGAGTTGTGCAGCGCTCAGGAATTTGGGTGCCTTCAGCAAAGGACAAGATGGCGCCCCCTCTTCATTTCATGTGCAGAAGCCAACGGGGCCGTAAGCGACTCTTGCGCCAACGCCAGTGACAGGATCGTGTCCTCCACCATACCTAAGGCAGCAGGTCATATCAGGCCTTGTAACAACAGAGAGGAGTGGCTGAGGAGGAACCACCAGGGAATGCTGCTGCCCACCAATGTCCTCTACCTGAGGCAGTTGCCTAACAGTAGGGCCGGTCCTGGTTGCACCGATAAGGAAACCTAGGAGGGTGTATTGGGTCAGAATGGTTTTCATTTTCATGCAAGGTTAGACAGGAGAGAAAGGAAGCTTCCTTAAAACAGTAGTCTCTTTCCAACTCAACTTTAAAGGGAACTGCCACCAAATACGTTGCGGAAGGGTCTTTCACCCTGCTTGCTAGAAAGTTGAGTTGTTGCTCTAACATCTGGATTCTATTAGCACTTCCCTGCTCAACTGGGGGGGGGGGGTTATCTTGCCTTATCTAGGGCCTGCTTTGGTTCTGGTAAGTGACTGTGGAGGGAAGCCAGCTGAGTGTGTGACTCCTCATTTCCCCAACCTTCTCCCCACCTCCCCACCGGATTTAAAACAAAAGGCTTACTAGAAGGAAAACCACCACCAAAGAACATATTGAAGAGGTCTTCAGGAGAGATGTCGGCCTCAAACCCTCGGTTGAAGTCCGTAGGGCTATGCCCGTGCCGTGTGGGACTGACTTTTGCATCTCCAAACTGGTCGTACTGCTTCCTCTTCTCTGGATTACTCAATACTGCGTATGCATTACCAATAGCTGAAATGTAAGAAAGAAGAAAGGATTCGTATTTTTGCCTCCAGCGACAGCAAATGTCAGCCAGTGGCCTAAAGCCAGCAAACTGGAAAAGTCCCCAGTTCATATCTCACATCAGGCAGGAAGTAAATGGGTGGTCTCGTTCAGCCCACCTGTAGAATGGGGATAGTGAATGCAGATATACCCTACATATTCATTATGAAGTGCCTCAAGCATTTAAAAGAATGTGTTTTCGATACTCGTAATAACAGCAGCCTCTCTTCTGTCTGCTTTCCATCCTTCTCTAGTTGATTTTAAAGCCCTTACTAAATCTCTATTTTAAAAAGGCATCTAAAGGATAAATGTGCATGAAAGAAAAATCTGGCCTACTGATGCAGTGGGTGCAACCGGTTTGCTAAGTTCATGGAATCATAGAATTGTAGAGTTGGAAGGGACCCCAAGAGTCAACTAGTCCAATTGAATAACAATAATAAGTTTTTGTTTTAATGGCCTGCCTTTTCATAATGGTTCTGCTTTTATTGGAAAGGGAGTTCATAAATGATGAACAAAGTCCAAGCGTTCCAAACAGGCTATGCCAAGAATTTGATAAGCTATTAGGCCCCATCCCGATCACCTTTATGACTTGACATATTCTTATGTCCTGGTTCAATTTTATTGAGGATATATCTGTCAGTGGCTCTACATTCTGATGCAGCAAAGCAGTTATTTTGTTTTTGCAAGCACACTCCTAAGAAAGAAGAGGACCATAAACAAGGTCCGAAGGCAAAAAATGTCACACTTATCAGAGATCACTGGGGAAAAGGAACACTAAAGCACCAGCTAACATCTGAAAAAATATTAACCAAGAGATTTCCAGAAAGGAGTGCATGCCTCTTTCCATTCCCCAAAGGTAAAGAGGTGAACCTTAGTGGGCACGTGGGTGCTAACACAGAGAGGGTAAAAGGAGGAATGAAATCGGCTTTGGTAAAGATAACCTCCTGAAAAATGGCCCTGTCAGGGAGGATAAAGCATTATCTTGCTTCATGCCCGAGTTGTGACATGCAACTCTTAGTAAAGCCTTCAGTAAACATAATAACAAAGTCTACAGGTGAAGAAACCTGCCTTTCGCCACCCTGGAGAACACACTATTGAAGAGCTTTTTTTGTGCCAGATGTCTAGACAAGTGCAGTTTTAATATAACCTGAGCACACAAAGGGTCAACTAGACCCTTTTCCTGTCAAATGAAATGGGCCTAGATTTAGGATCCCAAAAGGGACCGAACAGACTTGCTTTCTGTTTTCCAATAACATATGGGAACACATTCTGTATTCTGTATAATTACTCCTCCATTATTTTACTCAAATGAGAGCTCTGATCCAGTTCCAATTCTGAAAATCAGGAGGGACCCCCCCCCCCCCACAACCAGAACCTTTGGATTTTAAAGCTGTGTTTGAACTCAGCCACCATGATGATTTCCAATACAATTAGGAGTAGTAAAGAAGCTATTAAGAACCTAGAGAGGTAGTTTAACCCCCCTTAGTGCAAGGGTAACTTTCTGCCACTGAAATCAAGGGGACTTGCAGGATAATCTTAGATGCTGCAATTTTAAGATGTGGTAGAAAAGTCTCAGCGTCAGATCCACGAATGGGACAAATAAGCTGGCCTCTCCTATTACACACTCTCCCTCTTAGATTTTTCAAGGTGTTTACAGTGGTAACAAGCAATACACTAAACCCCCGATCTCCAAGACTTAAATCCAAAGACATCAACAACAAACCCACTAATTCTAACCAAGAAAAAGCTACTAACCCTCATCTCTTGACCTCTGCCACCCCAAGGCACTACCTTTCATGGTCCTGAGAGACGGCTCACAAAAAAGAGACTACATTTTACCTTTAAAGGCCTCCGTTGCACCAGGTGCATGATTCTTATCAGGGTGAAATTTCAGTGCTAATTTCCGGTACGCCTTTTTCAGATCCTCATCGGAGGAGTCTCTGCTCACACCCAGAATTTCATAATAGTCTTTACATTGTTTTACCCTAAAAAGTAAAGAGAAGAGCACATAGCAGCTGTTAATAAGAGACAGAAAATCTACTTTAAAAAATAGTTTAACTTTCCATTTTCCCCAAATTACAATTCAGACTAATACTGTCCTCTAGTTTTATTTCCTCAACTGGTTCAAAAGCATTCATTGATGCTGCACCATTAACTGGGACATCCATTCACCCTTTCCCCATCAGAGGTTCAGCTACCCAGCTTAACCATTTGCTACTCACCTGCAGCAAGCAACACCTGACCCCTTGCAAATCCTAAATTGCCAGCTGCACCTGCCTTACACACAAGGATTTCTCTTTTAGCCTTCAAGCTCTACTGTCCCTTTAAGGCCAGAAGAGAGAGAAGCAGAGTTGTGTGTGCAAGCTGGCTCAGCCCTGAGCTGCGTTTAAGGGATGCAAGCAAGGTTTCTCAAACATTTCTGAATTTGAACCTTTTAAACTCTTCTGTCTCAGCTCACTGACGACTACTTTTTTAGCAGGAAGGGGCACAGATTCCTCACACAGAGCTGCATGTATGCAGTCTGCTGCTTTGCATGTAAAAAGATCTGTGGGCTTGGACACTAATCCAACGCCGGCTTTCAAAGAGGAGCAGGGCATCCCTGACTCTCTCCCAAAACCAGCCAACCAGGGAAGAAGTCCGGCCGCCACCTTAAACGGCCAAATGTTCCCTGTCCCTTTACGAGGTGTCTGGAGGCTGCAAAGCTCAATGTCTGTGGTCAGGAGGAATGTTTCTTTTGCTCTCCAAGATGCAGGATAGTCAGGCTTCATGACATGGAAATCACTTTGGGGAAGAAGGGCCTTTGCAGCAGCAATTTCACTCTCCAGACTCTGCACTGCTCCCAGTCATCTGGTGCTGCCACCGTGACATAGCACTGTCTTTTCTAGATTTAAAGCAGCAGCTCTCAGGTGGCAGGACAAATTCTCTCTCTAAGAAGCAGCAGTAATGCAGGCAGAAGCTGCCTACGTTATGTCCATAGCAGATACATTTGAAGTCTACATTAAAATAGATTTCTATGGTCACAAAAGCTGTGGAGATGCCGCTACCCTCAATGGCTTCCCTATCCATCCCCAAGGAATAAGCAGGTCTACATGCACATTCATTGGTGCAGGAAGATGTCTGCTCCCTATACTGAAAGGAATGAGGAAGTCTGTATGCACACGAACACCATGTGAAGCTCGGGGGCCAAGTAAGCACATTATGCACACGATGAACTGGTTTCCTACAGTGCAGGTGATAATCCAAAGCTTGGCTACAAAAAAACAACACCCAACTATACAAAGTGCAAGAAAGCAACTTACAGATAAGCATTTGTATGCGACTTATATGTGACTTCTGGATTCAGTTCTAGAGAACTGGCCCTCAAAGAGCAGATGCAATGCAGTGAAAATGCTGCCCCCAAGTGACACAACCGTGCATTACGCTAAAAACAACAACTCGGAAACAGCTTGCCTTTATCCTGACCCAAACTTTAGGCATGTTCTGTTAGCTTTAAAATTCAGGGCTTCAAGACGAACTTCCTTCATATTAGGCAAAAAACACAAAAGACTAAATGGCCATGTATAAAGAAATACCCTTCCTCGTTGAAGGTCAATGACCAAACAGACAACTGGTTTCGTAATATAAGAAACCAAAAGTTAACTGAGACTCACAGTGCAATCCTATACATGTCTACTCAGCAGTAAGCCCTACTGATTTTAGCTGGACTTACTCTCAGGTAAATGTGTAAAGGATTACCTCCCAAGTCTGAAGCCACATGATGCAGTTCTATTCCTGAAGCTAAAGGGATCTGTCTCTAATGAGAGATCATCTAGGAATCACATGTAAGCCATAGAGAGTTCTCTGGAGGAAGAGCGGATTGCAAGTGTAATTTAGAAACCATACACAATGCCCAGCAAGTAATTAACCCCCATAATAAAAGACAAAAAACTACAGGGCTCTAGCCCTTAGATCACAGCTTGCTTAAATTCTAGTTGTAAGGCTAATGGGTGTGTAATCTCTGATGCTGAAAGGTGTGCATGGATAAGGGTTCTCTATTGGGAACGGTCCTGCCAACCGCTGTGGCTCACCTCTTCCTGTTTCAGCCTCCCCAGGTGCTAAGGTCATCAAATGAGGCCCTAGTCCACCTGCTAATACTATATATATATCTCAGCTTGTCTGGCTCAAGCGGTGGCACTTTTTCAGTGTTAGTATCCTTGCTACACAACTCCTTCTTCAGAGAAGCTTGGCGGGTTTACTTGAATTGATTCTTAGAAGCCAGCAAAGACTGTTTTCTTTTGGAAAACTTTGAGAGAAGTTACCCGTTGCCCACGCCGCCTTAGGAGACTTTAATGGGAATATTAAGTTGTTTTGATGGACTTTGACTGCATTTTTATAGCTTTATGGTTTTGTTCTACTTCATCCAGCTTTTACATCTGGATGTTGTTGTTTTTAGGTCTCTGCCTAGGATCGTGGGTTTTAAAACAATGTTTTCCGCATGCTTTTAAAACACATTTTTAGTTGTTTTTCTTGTAAATCACATTAAGACTTTATTGCACATTAAGCAATAAATAAAATAATAATAATGCTTTTAATGTACTGTATTTTAGTACATGTTTTATTCACTGATGCATATATTGTACGCAGCCCTAGGGGCTCATCTGAGCTATTTGGAAGGGTATAAAGTTCAAAACGGGTGGCGCTGTGGGTAAAACCTCAGCGCCTAGGACTTGCCGATCGTATGGTCGACGGTTCGAATCCCCGCGGCGGGGTGAGCACCCGTCTTTCGGTCCCAGCTCCTGCCCACCTAGCAGTTTGAAAGCACCCTTAAGTGCAAGTAGATAAATAGGGACCGCTTTCTAGCGGGAAGGTAAACGGCGTTTCCGTGTGCTGCGCTGGTGCTGGCTCGCCAGAGCAGCTTTGTCACGCTGGCCATGTGACCCGGACGTGTCTCTGGACAGCGCTGGCCCCCGGCCTCTTAAGCGAGATGGGCGCGCAACCCTAGAGTCGGACACGACTGGCCCGTACGGGCAGGGGTACCTTTACCTTTACCTATTTTAAAGTTCAAAAGTAACACAGGAACAAAAGGAGGCTGCCTTAATCAAACCGCTGGTTCATCTAGCTCTGTATTGTCTACCCCAGCGGTTCCCAAACTGTGATCCATGAGCTTCATTCAGGTAGTCCGCAGCCTGCCTGTGGATTTGCAGTTGAAGGTGGCAGACACAGCCATCACGCTAAATAGTCATGTCTCTTTTTAACTGCATTTTTATTACATCTTCTATTTCTTCTGTTGTAATTTACTGCATTATAATCATAACCAGTAAGGTATCCCACAAGACATCCCCCCCCCAGCAATTTTCAAGTGGTCTGTGGGGGTGGAAGTTTGGGAACCAAATAAAATAACAAGTCCTTATTGTGGAATTTCAGCAACTTCAGCAAAAGCAGCCCAGCTCCTCTTTGGTGAATGCAAAGTAGCAATTCCTAAGGTAAACAGACCTGTCTTACAGTAGATGTTGCTCTCCATGACTACGTTGCCATAATTCATTGTAAGTCAGCACCTGCACCCTGAACTTACCTCCCAAATGTGACCAAAAAATGACTCTGTGATAGCAAGCTAGGGCCCTCCAATACACAAACAAAATCTGATGTGTACACTTACCTCTTAACTGCATCTACCTGATCTTGAGTGTAACCTTTACTGATATCCCCACCTGCCTCTCCATTGGCTGCAGGGATGTCCCCACTCATTTTTCTAAGGTGGGGGTTTGTGGATTCCTTGGTTTGCGAATGGCCATTTGATGATTTTTCACTCCTGGTGAGAGAATCGAGCAGCACTGCAAGGAAGAAAACACAGCAATGGGTCAAATTTCTTCCGCTCTTTCAATATTTTCATTTCTTTCATAGTTACTACCAAATGTTCTCATATTCCCTCCCCCTCCTCCTTTGCTGGTCCACTTCCAAAAAGCTTCAGTACTTTCATCCAATTTTATTTTATTTTAAATAAATCTAGGCAGCTGAGATGTTCACTCTTTTACATCCTTACAGAAAGAAATGCAAATCATTTGTTGTCTAATCTACTTATGCCAACAAATCAATAACCCCTTAAGCTTTGAATGTATCTATGGGTTCATGTTCAATCAGAGGGCACAAGACAAGAGGAAAATTAGAAAAAGACAACCCGGTGATTAAAATCAAATATATAAAGTGATTATAATATTTAAAAGAAAGCACCAAACTAGACAGTGTTCAATAATAAGCAGAACCACCACCCCGAATTGATACTGTTAGCAAGATCCACATGCCAACAAGATCCTTCTGCTAATGATAATGATAATAATAATAATAATAAATAGTAATAATAATAATAATAATAATAATAATAATAATAATAATTTATTTATACCCCGCCCATCTGGCTGGGTTTCCCCAGCCACTCTGGGCGACTTCCAACAAAAGATTAAAAATACATTAAAACATCAGTCATTAAAAACTTCCCTAAACAGGGTTGCCTCCAGATGCCTTCTAAACGTCAGTTGTTTATTTCCTTGACATCTGATGGGAGGGTGTTCCACAGGGTGGGTGCCACTACCAAGAAGGCCCTCTGCCTGGTTCCCTGTAACTTTGCTTCTCACAGTGAGGGAACCGCCAGAAGGCCCTCGGTGCTGGACCTTAGTGTCTGGGCTGAACTATGGGGGAGGAGATGCTCCTTCAGGTATACTGGGCTGAGGCCGTTTAGGGCTTTAAAGGTCAGCACCAACACCTTGAATTGTGCTCGGAAACATACTGGGAGCCAATGTAGGTCTTTCGGGACCGGTGTTAGGTGGCCCTGGCAGCTGCTCCCAGTCACCAGTCCAGCTGCCACATTCTGGATTAGTTGTAATATTGTTTGTACTGTCACTCATCCTACAATATTGTATGCTTGACCTGCTTTTACTATCACAGAATCATAGAGTTGGAAGGGAACCTGAGGATCATCTAGTCCAACCCCCTGCAATGCAGGAATATGCAGCTCTCCCATATGGGGTTCGAACCTGCAACATTGGTGTTATCAGCACCACACTCCAACCAACTAGCCATAGTTGGAGTGAAAAAATCTGAGGTAGCTATCAAGTTCACAGGGTAATCTTAGGCCAGTCACTCTCTCTTTCACAGCGTTGTTTTGAGAATGAAATGGATGGTGGAGGGGACCAGGGAATGACTATAAATGTCACCTTGAGCTCCTTGAAGAAAAGGTGGGATACAAATGTAAAATATAATAACTAAAAATAATTTGCTAGCCTCTGACAGTGAGTAGTAGTTACCCACATGGGATAATGAAATAGCATAAGCTAAGTGGTTGTTCATTTTCTCTCTTTTAGGCTAGCAGCCTTTAAGGCTACAACAGCAAGAAGCACAGCCATGTGGCTAGATGACTGCACTCTGTCCACTGCTCAACACAGGACAGCACTGAACCCAGGTCCTGGGTCCAAGAGAGGCAACAGCAAAAATAAAAGGCCAGTCCCTGTATTTCTCCTACTGGGAGGAAAGAAAGAACAAAGGGATCAATATCCATCACCAATTCCCCCAAGTTCTTGGGCCCAAGAAGCTAAGGTTGCCAACTATAGATCTGACCCAGCCGGGCTGTGTCTTTTATAGCTAAATGTGCAGACATCAGCAAGTGGAAATATTTATCTCCATGCTATGAAACATTTTCAATACCAAACTACTGTTCAAGGTGCAAGAGCAGACCAGGCTGCGTTTTTGTCCTGGTCAGTTGGCAGCCCAATAGCACTGTTCAAACAGATGTGTCTATTTCCCCAGCTTTAGAGGAAATGAAGCAAATAAAGGCTTCCCTTAGTGGCACCGCCAAAAGCCAGTCAAAAGAGCACCATTAAATCCAGTCACGATGATTTTATACAACTTCTCAAACATAGTCATGTCACCTCCCTTCAGATTAGTACTGCTGTATGCTTTACCCTTGGGCAAGGAAAAATCATCTCTCTATATCGTACTGGTTGGAATGTTGGACTAGGACCTGGGAGACCAGGCTTTGAATCCCCACTTGGGGTCATGAAGCTCACTGGGTGCCCCTGGGCCAGTCACTGCCTCTCAGCCTAACCTACCCCACAGAGTTGTTGTGGGGACAAACTGAGGAGGGGGAGAGTCATGCATGCACCATGAGCTCCTTGGAAGAAAGGGTGGGTTATAAATGCCATAAATAAAGGAAGTATTTCTAGATAAGTGCAAATAGGTTTTGTATCAAATCTAATGTAAGTTTCTATATCTTGCAAAGGGACGCGGGTAGCGCTGTGGGTTAAACCACGGAGCCTAGGACTTGCCAATCAGAAGGTCGGCGGTTCGAATCCCCGCGACAGGGTGAGCTCCCGTTGCTCGGTCCCTGCTCCTGCCAACCTAGCAGTTCGAAAGCACATCAAAGTGCAAGTAGATAAATAGGTACCGCTCCGGCGGGAAGGTAAACGGCGTTTCCGTGCGCTGCTCTGGTTTGCCAGAAGCGGCTTAGTCATGCTGGCCACATGACCCGGAAGCTGTGCAGCGGCTCCCTTGGCCGGTAAAGCGAGATGAGCGCCGCAACCCCAGAGTCGGCCACGACTGGACCTAATGGTCAGGGGTCTCCTTTACCCTTATCTTGCAAAACAAAACAAAAACAAGCATCAAATCTGGAGAGTGGATACAATAATTTGTTCTGTCAACATTTATAGGCGAGCCAAAGTGGTCACAAAGTGGTCACTGGCACTATGCACACCCCTTCTCCCCAGTTTAAACACCAGATCATCCATTCACCTAATGGCTGTAGGGAAGCCACTGCCTCCTTGCCTGAGTTCCCTATCAGCAAATGGGATTTTTAAAACGACCCATTTCACAGCGTAGATCTGATGATGAAAAATAAATTGTAAGGGATTATAATTCTAAAGAGGTGATTCACAACTGGGTGGCGGCGGCAGTGGGGAAATAAGCACTTATTGCAAGCCTACATTATTGCAAGCAATTGCGCAGATTGATCTACAGTTCCCATAGGCATTGGTTGGCCACTGTGAGAACAAAATACTGGACTAAATGGGCCACTGAAGTGATGTAGTAAGTTCTTCTTAGGTACTTAATTATACATTTAAACTACAGAAGACATAAGTGACACCTTATCAAAAGCCTTCATTTTGTTTGGTTCCTGTCCAGCCTTAATGAGCCATTTTTAATTAAGGAAAAATAGGTTAAAAACAAACTTTTAAAAATGTTCCAACCCAAGGAACTATGACAGAAACAAAAAAGGAAGGGAACATATCCACAAGCAGAACTATAAGACTGAGCTGCTTATGACTTTCAAGAAAGTTCAGGTAAAAACAAAGTGATTTCAGTAGGACAATGCCGTTTGTTATATTTTCCCTGAATGCCACAAAATTCTTAAAAAGAAAGCACTTCTTCATAGAAATAAGCACAGCATCCACATGTGGATTACCAAATCAATCCTAAGTGTGTACACACCAAAAACTGAAGCAGAGCAGTTCTTCCCAGTCACACACACCAAAATCTGTGAACACTATCCACACACAGGCATTCTTGTATAAAGTTAAGCTGAAATATAGAAAGGGCCATCTGCAAAAACAAACCTCCTCTTTTGCTTATTGTTTGTATTATCCTGCAACACAGGATAAAGCATTTCCTCATTCAAAGTGAAAACAGGAAGAACATCATGACATCACTGTGTAACCAAATCTGATTGGCTATGAGATAGGCTGACTACCTGATTCCCAATTGGCTGGGATCACTTTCCATGAATCAGCTGCTCTAGTTTTCTTAAAGCAAGATTGAGGGCCAAGCCCCCACAGCAATATTTTAAGGCCACAATAAAAATAATTTCACATTTGAATATTCAATACATCCTTATTCTGTAACTATTTTATTTCTGTCTTTCTTGGTAAGGCTTTTAAAGATTGGTCTCTTAATATTCATTTCCTTTCTCTCAAAGTTGTAAAATATTCCTGTTCCATGTCTGAGGGCTAAGGTGAAATAAATAGATGTTAGAAAACACTATGTGAAATTTTCTCTGCTCCACATCACAAAATTGACAGCAGCAGAGCAAGGGGTTGCAACATTTCCTTTTTAACAGTTGTATGACAAACAGAAATTCAATACGTGTATCTATCCCTAGAGATGAAGCAACTAGAAAGTGAACTTGTTTACTCAACTTTCAAAGACAGAAAAAGCAGCAACTCTAATTCTGTATAGCTAGATTGCATCTGTTTGGCTCCCCACAAAAACGTGTATTGCAGGAATGGGAAATTAGACAGTGGGAAGGTGGGGGGGGGGTTGAAGCTGAGTGAAAGACAGAGGAACCCCATATTTCTGTAAAGTGTAGAGGGGTTTCTGTGCTGTAACTAAGAATATAGAGCAATGCTGTAAGTTAAGGGGCTGGAAAGTTGTAATGCTCCGAGAGATGGGTGGCAAAGTGCGAAGCAAGAACAGATGAGATGACCACTCCATCCGGGGGGAAAGAGAGGAAGCTGAGAAAACAGAACCACAGAAAGCAAAGATTCTGTGCTGCCATCTTAGCTTAAAGCAGGACAAGTTGCTTAAGAGCTGAAGGGTCAACCAGAGACCAGGAGATTGGGGGGCAAGCAGTGGGCAAGGATGTGTGTAACCATTTCAGAGAGGATAAAGAGCCTCTCTCTGAGGATCAGCCCAAACAATCCGTACAGCAGTAGCCCAACGTCCTGCTTCCACCCCAGTGACCAGCAAAACGACTCTCGCAGAAGCCCACGATAAGGGAGGGAATGGAGGCAGCAGCCACCAATAACACCTAGTATACTTGAGACACACGCGATCTCCAGCGATATACTGGGGGCCAACGGTGGCAGATTTCTGCTTACCGTATGGATTTGGCGTCGTTTCTAAAAAGGAAGTGGCTAAACAGGGGACGGGGGAAGATGCTCAATTGTGGGGCTGAAGGAAATCAGCTGCTACGGATACAAGAGCCAACGGGGGGCTTCGGGGAAGGGCTGGGGGACCACGATGAAGGGGGTTGGGGGGCGAAACCCCAAACTAAGGCCTAGAGGAAAGATATAGCGAGCCACTGATTTGGGTGCGGGGGGAGCCTAAGCGTGTCAGATCTAACAGAGGAAGCAGCAGAGAAAGGGGGCGCCGGGGGGCATACAAGGGGGCTATTCCGCTCCCTCTATTGATGTAGTGTTGCCCCCCCTTCACACACGGCGCGGTGGCTTCTGGGAATTGTAGTCTCCCCAGCCCAGCTTCGCAAGGACCAGCGGCTGACTCCTCCTGCTCAGGACTCCCAGGCGACTCTCCCAGCCAGCTCTCCCCTTACCCCCCGCGCCCGCCGGGAAGTCTCCCTCCAAGACCCGCTTCGCGGCCCGTATCCTGCTCGCGGCACAGAACCGCCAGGGACTCCAACTCCCACGGTGCCCCGCGGCGCCGCAGCTCACTGCGCACGCGCAGTGCGGGTGAGAGGTCATTCCCCAGCCTCCACAGGCCCCGCCGGCCTCCCCAGCCCTTCCCGCCCCTCTCCGCCCCCGCTCACCGCGGACCCGCTGAGACGGGTAGAGGCGCTGCGCCTTCTCCAAGAAGCGACGCGCCTTCTCGACCTGGCCGGCCTTGATGGCGCCCACCGCGATAGCGATACAACGCTCCGCCTCGTCCCTGTTGGATTCCATGGTGGCGGCGGCAGCGGCGGAGAAAGCGCCGGCGCGCGGTGATGTCGTCACGCGGCGATGGCGCAGCGGCCCCTGCTGGAATCTCCCTAATTGCGCCCGCTAGAGGCTCTACCGAACTCTTTGGGGTAGCCGCGGTATTTGGTGCCGTATTGACTAGAATAGCCGGGCAATAAGCGGATAGGGAACCTGTGGCGGTTCCGCAGAAAACCAGCCAGAGTACCTGGAAATCTGCTCTTGAGAAGTCCGAGGGTTCGTGCCGGGGCGGAGAAAAAGGATCCCGCTGAGAAAAGCTTTGTTAGCATTGAGGTCGCGATTCTATGGCCAATACAAGGGGACTTCTAAGGAAACCCGCCTAAGATTGCTGCAAACTGCGTAATACGCTCTTGGTGTGTGCATTGCTCAGTTATCCCTGCATTGCGGATGCTGTGTAGTGTCAGATTTGATGGCAACAACGAAGGGATACTTTCATGCTGGATGTTTCATTGTGTCAAAATTCCAGCTTTCATGATCCTTTTAAACAGCGAACAACCAGAGTTGCACAATTTCAGTGTTTACCATTGTTATCAAATATTCAGCTTCCCGGGGCCTTTTCTACACCACTGGGAAGGGGTTACAGAAGAGAGACCTCATTTTTTAAAAAGCTGGCCTTTGACTTTGTATAGTGAAGTCTTCAAATTTTTTTAAAAAGTTTCTAGCACTGTTATATGCAGCTGTATGAGGAAAAGTGCAGGCAAGCTTCTACCCAAACTTATCTCACCATCTAGTGCTCTCACCAATAAGCGCAAAGTCACTGGAATGATTGACAAGCACTGGGCCTTGAGTGTATGTCAAATCTTAATTAACATTTAAAACTAGCTCCCCAATTTGATATTCATAGAATGCATGCTTGCTCAGGAAATATAACTAGTTGCTTTAACATTTGACAGTTTCATAAACACAATAGCTCTTTCTGTGTATGTTTTTCTGGCACTAATTTTCCACCACATTAAGCACTCTAAATCTCTAGCTATGGGGTTGGCCTCCATTCTTTATAATTCATGAGATGATCATTCAGAATCTGAAGCTTAGCTGAAAATTAAACTGCAGTTCCATGATAATTGGGGACTCGGATATATGTGCCTGTGATGATTTACCACCTTCAGAAAGTACCAGTTTCATTATGTTGCGCATTTGATAAGATGAACTATTGCATATGAAAATCCATGCCATAGTCAATTTGTTTCCAAGATAGCAAATTATCTTAAATCAGGTCAGACCATTGGTCTGACTCTGTTTAGCTCAATGCACTGACTGGCAGTGGCTCTGCAGAATTTCAGAGTGGTGAATTTCCCCACCCTTGCTGAAGATGGCCAGGGACTGAACCTGGAACTCTTTGCAAAACATGTGCTCCCACCACTAAGATATGACCTTTGCCACATGTAGTACCAGCACTTTCTGGCTTCTTAGACAGGCATGTGAACACTCTTAGACACATGGCACACATATGCAAGAAAGGAGAATCCAACTAAACATTGGGAAGAACTTCTTGACTGCAAGAGCTTCTTTGACAGTGGAATGGACTCCATCAGAAAGTGGTGGACTCTCCTTCATTGGAGGTTTTTAAGCAGAGGTTGGATGGCCATCTGTCATGGATGTTCTAGTTTAGATTCCTACATTGCAGGGGGTTGGACTAGATGACCCTCAGGGTCCCTTCCAATTCTACAATTCTTTGATTCTATCATGGGCTATTAAGATATTCTCCCCACAATTGACTACATGGAATTGGCAGAAATGACTGGCAGAATCCGAGACCAGGGAGAAGAGTCGGTGAAAGAAGACTGGAAGAAATTTAAAGACTATTTACAGAAATATTGTAAAATTAATGAATCTTAGAAGGATGTTGGATAGAAACTAAGTGGTTTCCAGCTGTAATGCTTTAAGAGATACGAAAAAGGTTTACAAATGGGTAAAAGCTTAATGGTAAGGATTTGCTGAACTAACAAACTGAACTGGAATACAAAAAGGGAGGTACGAGGAGGTCCGGGAAATAAGTGTAAGGAAGATATGCTATGGAAAATTAATGTGTTTTTAACTGTTTTTATTTTGTATGTTTCTTTTTATTTTTCATTTCTTTGTTATACCTTAATAAGGGTTTTTTTAATCTTTTTGCTGTATTTTGTATCTTCTTGTATTTTTATTCTTTGTTTTTGTGTAATTCTTGTATTCTTTGAAATTTTAATAAATATCATTTAAAAAAATAAATAAGATATTCTCCCCACAGTTCTCCTTACAATAAAAAGCAGCCTTCTGAAAGTTTAGAAGATAATCCTAAATTCAGTTTTAGGAGATAATAAGTTTGCATTAAATTCAGACTTCATATCTAACCAGCATTATTTTTAAATGAAAATGTTTATATGTGAAGCTTTCTAATTTTTTTTAAATCAATTTTGATCCAGCACACCTACTCAGAGGAAGGAAAGCCGAAAACAAACAGTGAGCATTAAAGTATTGATAACTTGGCATACACAGTATTATTCCCTTGATCTCCTGTTACAGAACTAATATCTGATTTCTTCCAGCTTGGATACTTTTCTCAAGTGTGAGATTAATGTGCCCAATAAAATAAAAGCAATTTTGACACACAAGTATCTAACCCCTTGTAGGAATTCAAGTAATTTTGAGTTCTCTCTCATTTCTTTTTGTTAGCGATCACTGGACAGAATGATAGTTCTACCACGCAGTTTTCCAGTACTTGATTTTATTCCCTTTACAATCCACAAAGATGGTCCAATTATTACCTTGCATCTGATGGAAAAGAACAAATGCTGTGGCAATTAAGATGGCTCCCAAACAGTTTCAGACACTAAATTCCCATGGTGTGTTCTGACAACACATTATATATAACAACCTTGCTGAAGCTAAGAAGGTGTGTCTCTGGACCTTTGAGTGAATGGGAGGCTGCCCAAAACCTCTTGTAGGCTCCTCTTTGAAATCTCTGGATGGAAGGAACCAGGCAGAGGGCTTTCTCAGTAGTGGCACCCACCCTGTGGAACGCCCTCCCATCAGATGTCAAGGAAATAAACAACTATCTGACTTTTAGAAGACATCTGAAGGCAGCTCTGTTTAGGGAAGTTTTTAATGTTTGATGTTTTATCGCTTTATTATTATTATTATTATTATTATTCTGTTGGAAGCCGCCCAGAGTGGCTGGGGAAACCCAGCCAGATGGGCGGGGTAATAATAATAATAATAAGTTGTTGTTAGGTTGTATATAGCTGTAACAACTTCTTATGTTTGATCTTGCTCTAGTATTACACTTTCCTGGAGTTTTAATTTTAGAGAGGCTCAAGAGGTTCACTGGGATAACGTTTGTATGGGGAAAAAGATCCTATCAGAGGAGGCTTTTGAATGCTCAGGTTCCAAAGCCCTCACATTCCCTTTTTAAAAAATAATAATATTTTATTGGTTTTCAACAACAAGAACAACACAAATTGACGTCCCTCTAGTCCCTTCCCTGGTTCCATTATTTGTCAACATGCTGCATGTCCATTATTAAATTTATAACATATTTAAATCACTATTATCCATTCATTGTAAAATTACAAGTACTTTTAAAACCCTGCTAACGTATTAACCTGTGTACAATGCTTCTGTATGCATGCAATAAACACCTTCCATTCTTCCTTAAATTCATTGTCGTCTCTGCTTCTTAGTTTCATTGTCACAAAGCCCTCCCATTCCCAGCACAAACACCCCTGACAAAATTGACAACTACACCACCAAGCAGTTGTAGTTAATTTCCACCCCAACAGAAACAAATGGGATTGATCTTGTTTTTATTTTCCAACGGGGCTTTGGAAGTAGTTCTTCCTCTACCATGGACTCTGTCTCCTCTCCAACGGCTGTAGGATTGCTCTGTTAGTTGCCTGGAAACTAGGTTTGTTGCACACCTACGACCATTTACTTTTAAAAGCCTGCCTTTTATCTAAAATTAAGGCCCAGTTCTGATGGTCAGGGTCAAGCCTTATTAAGTGTTCCTGTGGTGAAAGGGGGAAAGAAGCGGAAAGAAGTGGCAGACAACATAAGGGAGGTCTGCCAAATGTTCTACGCGCATTCATCGCTGAGTTTACAACAGTGGCAAAACATGATGACCCACTCTAGCCCTACACATTGCAGAACTCAGCAGATGGCGTCCGACTGCTTTAGTGTTTGCATATGAACTCAGGCCTGTGAGGAGCTCCAAATGCATGTGCTCAAGCTGTGTATTCTAGGCAAATATGGTAATAAATACGTATTTCAAAAATCATATTATTTGCCAATATTGGCCCAGATTATATTGGGGCGGGGTAGAGGTTAGATTCTGTGCCCTGCTGCAGTTATGCAACTCTGCATCCTTTTGGTTATTTTGAATAATGTATTCAATTTCTGGTCATCATGGAAAGAGGCACTTCGTAACTTATAAAGTAGCACTCTATGCGTTGGCAGCTAAGAAGAGCAGGAGGAAAGAACTTGATAAAATAGTGGTCAACTGCAAAGGGGATTCGGATATTTAATTTGGCACATTTTACTAGAGAACCTTCTGCTATTCTATTTTATGCAGCAAGCAATCTTAGTAGTTGTGACCGTGGTTTTTATTGTATGTGTGGTGCCCAATGATTTTTATGGTTATTGCTGTTTTTCCTTTTGTTATTTTTCTGAATGATGCCATTGCCTATGGCTAGCGCAATAAAAGTCGATGATGATGATGATGGAAAGAGGCAAGGAGATATGCAGAGTACTCATATCATCCATTTCTTACTGGATTCTGCCTTGTATTTTATTATTTTATTGGTTTTATATTTTTAGTGATGTAAATCAATAAGCTGTGAAGTCTGTAACTGATAACCAAATAAATTCAAATTAATCCATATAAAGATTACATTTATGAAATGGGAAATGCTACACTAGCAAATAAATAAAAAGTATATAAAGCTCCCAACTCCTTGCATTTATTTCATTCCCATGATGCAACAGATAAGATTGGCTCAGCCTGTCTAATATGTCAAAAATAGTAATACCCAGTTTTGTTTTCCAAAACCTAAGAAGGGTGTGGGTTTCAATTTGTCCCTTCTTGCTGAGTGGAGGTTTGTTTACTTCAGACATAGGCAAACTCGGCCCTCCAGATGTTTTGGGACTACAATTCCCATCATCCCTGACCACTGGTCCTGTTAGCTAGGGATCATGGGAGTTGTAGTCCCAAAACATCTGGAGGGCTGACTTTGCCTATGCCTGGTTTACGTACTTCAATCCATAAGCTTGAACAGTCTTTGAAAGGGGAGATCACCTGAATCTACCTGGCCTGCCAAGCAGATGGGGGGGGGGTATGTGAGAGTCTCTCACTCTCATCAGGTTGAGGTTTTTTGGGTTTTCCCCTCTGCTGAAAGGTCACCCATTAGACATGCTGAATCAACTGCCCAAGACATTCCTGTTTGCAACAGGCCAGAATTTAATTATACACCTTCATTTTGTAGCTATTGTATCAGAGAGGTTAATTAATTCCAAAGCTGACGAAGCTTGGAACCTATTAGACTGAATTCAATAGAGGCCAAATGGCAAATGAGAAGGGAGAGAGTGTGCGGCCCTTGTGTCCTAGAGATTAATTAGGACTTGGCCACTCTTAATGCAATGAGGCAATAAGTTGGATTTTTGCCGGCTCATCTTGTAGCCAGGATAACACAAGGTTGTTGCCCCAGAACAACTCACAAGAGTTTCCAGAGGGGCAAGAGGTCTGTAAAAGAAATTATTATTTGAACCAGGAGCCAGGAAAATCCACCCATGAATGTTTCCATGGCGAATTGCAGAAGTCTAGAACACTAGATCTCAAGGTCACCCAACAAAATAAAATAATAATAATAATAATAATAATAATAATAATAATAATAATTTATTTATACCCTGCCCATCTGGCTGGGTTTTTCTGGAAGCCGAGCATGCTCCATTTTGAGTGTTACGCTGGCGACTTGAGTGCCACACTGAGGTCCGTCTGTTTTTGCTATTTATTTTGTGTTTTTGTTTTTGTGACTGTGTGGAACCCAGTTCTGCTACTGATTGATTGATTGATTGATTGATTGTGTGACTGCAGTACATTGTTTATTGCTTTCGTTTTTATGGATCAATGGTCTCATTAGATAGTAAAATTCATGTTAAATTTCTGTTTTAGGGGTTGTTTTTAAAAGTCTGGAACGGATTAATCTGTTTTGCATTACTTTCTATGGGAAAGTGTGCCTTGGTTTTGGAACGCTTTGGTTTTGGAACGGACTTCTGTAACGGATTAAGTTCGAGAACCAAGGTACCATATTGAACCCAAACTTATTACATGGATGTATTTTTCCAATAAAGCCCCATCATGCTGATTGAGGAGAATCACAAGAACTGGTGTGGCCAAGCAGTGCCATCAGCAGATAACTTATAGTCCAACCAGAACAGGTCATTTCCAAGAACAGAGGAAAGAGAACAGTTTGTTAATGGCACTACAAGCACTTAGCAGTAGATTTTTCAAGCTTTGATGGATTTGTTAGCTTTATCATCTGTAATAAGGAAATAATCAGCTGCCCCACCACCTTGCCAGCACAGACCTTGCCCTGAAGTGCTGATTACCAAACGCCTCTGACAAGACACACAGCTCTGATGAGCCTATCTGGAGTCATGTCTGAGTGAGAGCCACTTAAAAAGCCATCAAGGATACAGAGTGGGCATGCCATATTAATAATAGACAAAGCCCAAAAGGAAATTAATGTTGGAAATTATTAAGACGGGAATTAAATAATAATATGTAACATCTGTATAGCGGTTTCAAGTGTTCAAAGCACTTCACATGCATTTTTTAGCTGTAACACTTTCTACACTCTTGTAAGGCAGGGCTAGCCAAGGTGGAAAATGTTCTTGGACTCCCAACTCCCAGCCAGCATGGTCACTGGTCAGGGATGATACTCCAACATCTGTGGGGAATCACATTGCGCTTAAGTCAGCATTATCATCTTCCATACTGCAGGTGGGCAAGTATATGAGGACATTGTTCTAAACCTGTCAGAAGACTGTGTACATTTCTCAGATGGTGCCGTCCCAAAAAGGATATTGGTGGAAAATGAAAACGATTCAAAGAGTTGGAGCATCCATCATATGAGAAATGTTCAGAGCTTTATAGTTTGAGGGGGGGAAATGACTAAGTGAGGCCATGAAAGAGATTTATAACATTATCAACTATGTGGAGAGAGGAAGAGAGAGAAATTGATTTTCAAGTAGTTGTGGGACTAACAGAAAAAGAAAGTACATCTTCACACAAGTTATGGAGTCAGTTACGGAATTCACAAATATATTGTTGCATATGTTGGCTTCCGTCTGTCTCGGGAGACAGTGGAGGAGAGTGCCTTTGGGGGTGAAGTCAAACTGTTGGAAGGTTACAGTGCCTGCTGTGGCTGTGGATACAGGAGAGACATGTTTTGTTGCAACTGGGGCAGATGAAGGCTGTAGTGCTCCAAAAGGGGAAAACTCTTGTCTCATAACATCTTTCTATGTGAATCTTGGAAGACATTTTCCCCCCTCCTACTGTAAGACTGCAACCCTACACAGAGTTATCAGGAAACACACCTGACTTAACACAGTGGATTTATTTCCAAATAAACATGCATAGGATTGTGCTGCATTTAATCTTACTGGCAGGATTCTTCTTCCCATTGCTCACCTCTTCTTTTCTACTTCCTTTCAGCATCACTTTGGGTTGGAGAGGCAGGTCTCTCTAAAACAGGGGTTGCCAATGGGGCAGCCATGGGAAATTAGGCTTGACATACGCATTCTGTTGTAGCCCATAAAATACTTGGTTGTGGGGTGTGTGGAGTGCTCACAACAGTTTCTCTGGTTTGCAAATGTACCCATGGGCCAAAAAAAGGTTGGCAAGCCCTGCTTTAAAGATATTGGGGAGAGGGGGCAAATCTCTTAAAGATGTGCCATGGTTCACAGGATGCTCCGTAAAGTGAAAAAAGGATGTCCTTTCTAGACTAAAGTCTAGACTAAAGTCTAGAAACCACCTATATGCTGGGGTATGGGGTATGAGGGAGGGAGATAAAGAGGAGAACAAAATATAGCAGCCGTGAGATCACACACAAAGCTGTTTAGTTTATTTTAAAATGGTCAAGGTCCTGGTCAAATCATGACAAAGAGTGATTTTATGGAGAAAATGGCAGACTTGTCGTTGTCAGAGTTTCTCTTCATTGCCATTATTGTGGAGGAAATATGGAAGCATGGCTATTTTAGTGTTTTCCACAGTGGAAGAAATTAACAATTTGTTTTGGAATTCCCTGCTGGGCCATCTCTGCTAATGAACACATGTGATAGCAGTGATGAGTGCCATGACAGAACACTGATAAGATGAGGCAATTTCACACAGTAATGAGATAAGCTCTTAAAGTCACCTTATAGTTACTATGGCTTTTTTTATTATCTAGCATTCTGTGGAGGAAATAAGAAATTTCCAAAGCAGT